AAGAATATAATAAGGACAAATGACTGTTGGAAATAAAATGATCGAATTTTAACAAAGTAATCTAATTAAATCTAATATTAAAGATATACATATAATGTAGAATGTCAATGTATTAATGTAAGCGTTTGCATGTAATGTTTATTTATGAATCTAATGTAGATGTGCACATGTAATGTTAATTTATGAATCTAATGGAAGCATGTACATGTAATGTTAATATATTAATATAATGTTATAATGTGTATGTAATGTTTATACATGAGTAACATGAATCTGATGTAAACATGTATATGTAATGTTAATTTATCAGCCCACCTCACTGACGTCATATCAACCTAATGGAGTATACAAAGAGACCAAAACATAACAATTATCATATGTAAATATTGTTGTTTTATGGATCGTGCGCTGTCTATATAACACGAGAGGGGAGGGAAGTGGGTACTGTGATGTTTTATCTTATGTCATATTATTGTGTTATAATTATAGTGAGTAAGTAAAAGTAAAGTTCCTTTTCAAACCTGACGGTCTATGGGGCAAGTGAAGTATAATTCACTTGTTTCTGTGACATATGAAGAGATAGTGTGACCTGCCGCCTTTACCCTCCCTAACGTGAGTTAGGTACCCATCAGAGTCGGGTGGACTCAGGGACGGTCTACTGACTTGACCCGGATTCGAACTCGAGACTTACGGGTTAGCAGTCCAGCAATTATAGTGAGTAAGGGTGACAAATAAGTTGATAGAAATTGGTTTACACTTCATTATTTTAACTTAATTTGGTTCGTGAAACTTTTTAAAAAAATGAATATGTAACCTGCAATTTTTTTTTCTACAATGGCGAGGTTCGTATAATTTAGTTTTAAAATCCCAACCTTTAAGATTTTATATACCAAATTGCGTCATTGTTCACATGCTAGGTATCCTAGAGTTATATTTTATGTGGGGCAGTGGTTTCATAACATGTTGTGTCAGAAAAATCAGAAAAAATGCGCAAAAGGAAAAATGCGCAAACAGAAAAAATGCGCAAACAGAAAAATGCGCAAACAGAATTATGCGCAAATACTAACTAAATACTAACTAAATGAATTTAATTAGTCAAATTTCGTGGAAAAGTGTTTTAGTATGTACATGTGGTCATTGTTTGTTAATGTTTAAGAAATGTTAAGAAAACAAAAATGCCCTTGCGAACTATTTTGTCGCAGTTTCCGTTTTGCGTTTCCACCGTTTTGTCCCTATTACATCATACAAATACCATAGCATTATTTCACTAAAGTATCATAACAAAACGTCTACATCTCGAATTTCATTTTATTTTTCCCGCTAATCAAAGTTGCTTGTTACTTGATTATTCCTTAACCCAGTTTTCGTGTCATACTTAATCGAATGACTGAAGTGTGTACTTTATCAACGTGCTAGTTAACAAGGACAGTAATCTAAAAAAAAAAAACCTCAAACCGGTGTAGATGCAAATTAATATCCGTGAGATATATTTCAACACAGCTGTATCTCTTACGGTGAAGCGTAACTGGGCTACTGAGTAGATTTGATTAGCTCCCTTGTTTTAAATAAGTAATTTTACTTACTGGAGTCACGCAGTTATGTTTTCTTTAGTAAACTTTGTGTTTTGTGTTTTATCTATCTAGATTATTGCGTTTAATCAATGGTTTGGGGGCGTCAGAGCTGTGTTTGTGTGTTTGTGTGTTGATGCATGCGAGAGTGGGTCTAAGTGTGTACGGTCACTTGTTCGTCTTCAAACTTTAATGGTGTGTTGAAGTTAAAGAGATGTGTATGTGTGTGTAAAAAAAAAAAGGGGGGGGGGGTGATGGAGATTAAATTAACTCACGAAAAACAAAATACGTAAGCACCCACCTTACAAAATTTTAGGCATTTGGTAATCGGTTTATGGTTATGGGTGGGTACCCCTTAGGCTTATAGGCTGGGTAACCCTAATGGGTATGGGGTGGGGGGGGGGGGGTTATGTGTAGGGAGCTCTAAGAATTGTAGGCTGGGTAGCCCTAAGTGCCAGATTGTCAGGTGCCATCCCTCTTAACTTTAAACATTAGAACAAAAAAAAAATGAACAGACACACACGGTGCATATTGCATGATAAAATTAACGAGAACACTTAAAGCTTACTAGCGCTTCATTAAAAAACTATACACACAATTTTCGAGTAAAATAATCGATTATATTTTAAATAAAGAGAGCAAAGGTTATCAATTAAATCTGACATTTATAAAACTAAACCATTATGACATTTGGACAGTTTGAGGTGTTAAAACAATTTCCTTAATATAGAATAGACAAATGACGGAACTAAACACAACAACAATTAAATGGTTTTAAAAACAGTATCTTAACTTCCTTGTCTGTTTGCCTTAACGCTCAACATACCCAAACTTAAAGTTTCAAAACTTGATAGAAACTAAAATAGCCGTTAAAAAAAACTTAACACTATTGTATAACTTGACTAAAACTAAAACAACTGTTGTAGAAAAAACAACTTACATTATAGTGTAAATCTAAAAGAACGCCGTGAGTTCAATAAACTAACAGAACACTATAATGTAAGTTCAATAAAACTAAAAGAACACTACGGTGTAAGTTGAATAAAGCTAAAAGAATATTAGTGTAAGCTGAGTAAATCTAAAAGAACACTCTAGTGACTAGTGTAAGTGTAATAAAACTAAAATAACACTAGTGTAGGCCTAAGTTGAATCAAACTAAAAGAACACTATATTTTAAGTTGAATAAAACTAAAAAAAGAACACCCTAAGTTGACTAAAACTAAAAGAACACTATAGATTTAGTATAAGTTAACTAAAGCAACAACTACAGAAAAAACAACTTACCGCTATATTTAACTAAATCAACTTTGTAGAATTCCTCCTCTGCATCTTCGTGCATTATAACATCCCCGCTATTTACAGGCGAGCTTTCTATATTCTTTAGCGAAGAGGCAGTGATTCTGTCCCCACAAAGTAGCACAAAAACAAACAAGCAGTTCCATGCATATCGTTTAGCAGGCCGCAACTTCATGATACACTGTTGTCTACTTGGCTCTTGAGTCCCCACTTATCCTACTACAGTAGCGCAAGTAGAAATACGGAGTTGTCGAACTTGCCGGGCGGTTACGGAAGGGGGGCGGTACGAGAGCGTACAGAGGACAGCAGATTTGGATTAACTTTTTTTTTAGTACGTCGCCACCTTCCTTTTGTGAATACTGTAACAATGTTGTGTGGCGTAGCTAGGATTCGGAGCAGGTTTTTTTTTTTTAAATAAAAACCCAATTGACTACAAACTATTAACGCACTGAGCAGTTAATTTTTGTGCGAATAAAATATATGATTTTGTTTTTAAAATAAACTAATTGTAGAAAATAAATTGGTAGGGATGATAATGTTGAATGTTGTTCGCGTTGTTGATTAATGTGTTTCATTAGTGGTGGTTGCAGTGTTTCTTTGAGACATTTTAGGAAAGTTAGCGGGGGTTCAAACTTTCGGGGGGGGGGGGCGGCACTCAAATTTCCGGGGTTGGGTAGGTTACACTGGTTAAAGTACATAGTTTTATGTTTATACAAATTTTTCAGAGAGAAGGGGGGGGGGCTCCAGTGGGGGGGGGGGGGGGCAGGGGGTGTATTTTGTATTAACGGTTGGTTGAAGTGTTTCTTTCAGACATTTTTCTCCGGATGTCAGTGTTGAAGCTTTACTCACTTTTGACATTCGTTAAAAAATAGTTCACTACGGTTTACTCACTTCCACGCGCAGGCCGATTTAAGACAAAACTGTTAAAGGTTGTTTTTTTTTTCTTTCTACCTGTCAGATCGTCGTGAAAATGGACAAGTATCAATACCATTAGATGCACAATCAGTTGCAAAGTGTGTTTCTTTTACCATCAGCTGTGAAACCCATGGATTTTATTTCGCTCGTAACTCAAAGCAAAAACGTCGCTCACTTGACTGCTCATATCTAAATAATTATAATCTCGTATGTTAGGGCACTTGTTAAAAAAAGTTATATGACGTTAAAAAAATAAAATAATGTGTACTAGCTGACCCGCGACGTAGCATACGCTGCTATCTAGTTGTTTTATTTTTTTACTTATCAACAATTCATAATTTGTGAATTCGACACTACCCCCCCCCCCCCACTCCACCCCCCCCCCCCCCCACCCAGTGAAAGCAGCCGTTTACAGACGACAATGAACATATCAAGCAGAACTTATTATCTCCCCTTAGTTTCAAATCGTTTAAAAACTAATTGATCTGCCCCTAATAGCCGTCAGTTATTCGAACCGGCTCTACTATTGTAAACACTCGGGGTGAACAAAAAAAAAATGCAATTTTTATAGAAGGTGGGGGTGGGGGTGACACAAACCTAGTGTTTCTTCCAGACTTTGTTCTCCGGGGGGGGGGGGCACTTAATATTTTCGGGGGGGGGGGGGGAGGGGGCGGACACTGGTAAAAGTATACGTTAAGAAGCAACTCTGTTCAGTAGTGAGCGCACACACAAACAACAACATTGTGCCATAAGTGTTTGGCCGTGTAAGAAAAAATAATTTTAACTTATATATTAGTAATTAAAAACATTTATTCACTTTTTAGTTGTCCCCCCCCCCCTCATTTTTATATGACACCCCCCCACCCCCCCCCCCACTTATGATCAGAGTTTCTTCCAGGCATCTCTTCGCGGGGGGGGGGGGGGGGGGGGGCTTCGACCCCCCCCCCCCCCCCGATTTCTACCGCCCCCCCCCCCCCCCCCCCCCCCCCCCCCCCCCGAACGTAATGAAATTTATATAATTTATATAGAAAATATATACTTTTAACAGTGTCCGCCCCCCCCCCCCCCGAAGAAAGTCTACCGCCCCCCCCCCCCCCCACCGGAGAAAAAGTCTGGAAGAAACACTGCTTATGATACTGCGTATCACAAACACAAATAAATTTTCACCCTTGTTTTCACCGCGGAACTCTCTTGTTTTACAAAAATAAGTTCAGCGAATGCTATGTTTGACTTCCGGGGTTTGCGTGTCGGCGAAGTAAACATTCAACATGTGAGTAAAAAAATTCTGCAATATTGTTACACATTTAGGTTGTATGAAACGGTTTTTAAACTTACGGATTATACTAATTATTTTCTAATTTCAGGTCTAAAGTGACTTTTAAAATAACACTTACCTCAGACTCAAAGCTACCTTACAAAGTGTAAGTTTTATTTTTGGTATTTTACTTCTTTTTATAAAAATTTTATTTATTAGGCCGGCCTAGATCTAGATCTAGATCTAGATCTACACACTACACACTCAACACTGTCTCACTCACACTGTGATAGTGAATTTATATATTTATTGTTATGACTATCAGACTATTAGATGAGACATGATAGACATTAATTCTTTGATGATGTAGGCTGAGATCATGATTAATTTAAAGTCATGATACAACTCATTACTACGATTAAATTGGAAAATAAAATTATGAAACTCATTTCATAGCCTCAGGGCCTCAGAGTATTCAATATTGTGAAAATGTGAAACTGTACTAATCTGGCTCATAATAGCCTATATACCAATAGCTTTATGGTAAATTTTGTTTGGTTTCTCCTGTGTTTATTTTATCAGAATGTTTTTTTTTGTATTAATTTTTTAAATTATGAATCAATTACCTTTGCTTTTGAAGCTTTGTCATTCTTTAGTATGCCTTATTTTATTCATTTATTTAATAGCCTATTAATAAAAAGATCCAAATATTTGTTAATTTGCAGAGTATATAAACATAATAATAAGTACAAGAAAAATAGTTGAAAAAGTTTTTAAATGTGATCTTTCTCAAAAACATAGTTTTTAATTTTACTCTTGTTTATTTCAGCTTATCTGTACCAGAGGGTGCACCATTCACTGCAGTACTGAAATTTGCAGCAGAAGAGGTAATTTCTTACAGTAAATGCAGTGAGGGATACTTACAATAACCTAGAATTTTTGGCTTATAAAATCTAACAGGACAATTAATTTTTTTTTGCCAGTGTCACTTTTAGTGTTTATGTCACTAATAGCATAAAGGTTCAGACTACAGCTAACGTTAGTAGTAACATGGTAGTAACACCAGCACTAACAGAAGATTAATTCCTTTCAACCGCACTGTGTTCTTACTGTCTTAAGCTGGAATATTATTTTTTAAAATTGATTGAAATTAAATGATATATTTCTACATTTTTCTTTGTAACTTTGACTTGTATATTTTTTAAACAATTTTTAAAATATGTTTTGTAGTTTAAAGTACCCGTGGCTACTAGTGCTATTATAACAAATGATGGAATTGGCATAAACCCAGCTCAGAGTGCAGGTAAAACATTCTTCTTTAGCCAGGTGTAAATAAGTAGAATTTTATTCAACACATGATTTTAAAAATGTTCTACACAAGTTATTCCACCATGCACAGCTTGTAAAAACAACACAGCAATTTTTTGTAATTGGTTTCAGTGTTATCAGTCAAATAAACTTTTTATTTCAAATTATTACTATTATTGTAGAAGAAATTTATAAATTAAAACAAATTTGTGAAATTTAAAAAAAAATAGTATTTTATTTGCTATATCACTCACCCGTTGAATTCTTTCAGGAAATGTTTTTCTCAAACACGGATCAGAGTTGAGGTTGATACCCAGAGATCGTGTAGGATCCTCACAATGACATCACTCTCAAAGTTATACATAATTTAACGTAATTTATTCCCACCCCATTTAGGTTATTTTAAAAATTTGAAGCTGTAATTACTTTTCATGGATTAATTCTGTTTCTTGAAAGATACTCTTGAAGGATTAGGTTACATAATGTAAAAAAAACAACTAAATTTGTTTGCTACGAACACATGTATTAATTTACTGTGTAAGCAAAATTTTTTTTAATTATGATGATATATTGTTCCACACTAAATATTTTCTAAAACCATGACAAAGCAAGACATTTAGAGTTTCTTGATTTTTTAGGACAAAATGTATTTTCAGTACTAACCTACGTTAGTATCATCAACATCCATTGGTAACTTTCAACCACTATCTTTTGCATCTGTTAAGGGTGTATAAATAAAAGCAGTTTAGCCCTGGGTTCCCAGCTGTAAATTTAATTCATTGTCATGTGTACAGAACAATACTGCTGTTGATTTGCTTTATTTGTCTGGATGATTGTATTTTAAATTTTCTCTCTTTGGTTATAACATTACATTTTTCTTGTTTAACTGGTTAGAATTGATTAGCCCAAACACTAAAGTTTGTTAGAATTTGTTTCTTTTCTGAATCAGCAGGCTGTGTTTTTTTTTATTTTGTCAAGGGAGACAGCAACACTCTGGTTGTTACGTCAACACTTATTATCTGCCCTTGATTGTATTTTTTTTTTGTGTATGCAAAAAAGCTATATATTATGATCATTGAAATTGCTTGTTTGTTATTTTATTGATTTCTCTGTCATAGTTTTTAAATAGAAAATGTTTTGATTTTGAAAGCTTTTAAACTGTGTAATGCCCATAAATCTGTGCTCTGCTACATCTCAAGATATTGTTTTGTATTTTAAAAAATTGTATCACCCACTTTAGTTTAAGAATGTTATTGTTTAGTTTTCATCAGCTGTGTAACTTGTATGTGTTGTTTAGTGTTATAATTTGTGTTTATTAGCCATTGTTATTGTGTTTTTTAGCCATTGTTGTTTGTTTTTTAGCCTTTGTTATTGTTTGTGTTTATATAGCCATTGTTATTGATTGTGTACATTGTTTCTTGTAGAACTCTTCAGTTTTATTGTGCCTGATTTCACAAGACAAGCACAAGTTTAAGCCAACATTATATTGGTGATGCTGAATCTTTCAAATTTGGAACATGTATTGTGACTTTGTTGTTAGAACTTCATTTTAAAATGTTGATTTTTCATTTTACTGTCTTTTCTAACATTGGTTTGAAAATTTTGTGTTAGGCTGGGTTCTTTTAGAGTATTGAACATGATTGTTGTTTTTATTTTTCTGTTATATAATCAGTTCAGTGTCAAAAGCCTTTCTTGAAACCCTGGATAACAAGTAATGACAAATCTTGTGTCGTATCACATGTTTATTCTGAGGGTCTAGTGTAAAGGTCAGATAAATAAATTTATGTGTTGTTGATAGTAGGGAATCTGTATGAAGAAAATTATTAGTCTGAAAGCAGTATTTTATTTGAAGGGGAGGGGGGGAAATGTCTACTTGTAATAAAATTATTGAGTAAATTTAATCTTTTACAACTTGTTTCTATTAACAACACAAAAATGTTGTAAGATTAGTAGAATATCAAATGTAAAAAACTGATATTCTGAAGTTTTGGGGCTTTATTTCATTGCAGCAACTGATAGCGCTGCCTAACTAGCTATCTATATGTGCTGAGTGTGAATAAGCACTCCAGCTAAAAGTGTACTTGATTTATCAGGCATAAACTGGTTGTTACAGCACTGGTCAAGTTTATTTTAAAAATGTTTCCTATGTGCATTTTGATTTATTTAAAAACTAATTATAAACAGTTTTGAAAATATTGATTCAATGTGAGAAAAATAATGAAAAACAAAAGAAATAAAACAAAACTACTAATCTGGATGTAATTTGTTTTGTTTATTTTTTGTCTAAGTCTCATCAAGCACCTGATACTTTTATGTCACATCTCTGATTCACTGACAGCCTCCCTCTTCTCTCAACAGATTAGAAATATATGGCACTTTCAGCTCTCTCTTAGATTTGCTTCTTTTATTAGTAATCGCAAGTATATTTATTAAAAAAAAAGTTATTTCTTTCCATTAAACAATAAGTGTAGGCAGAAAATTCACTTTTAAAAATGTATAATTTAAAATTTTTCGTATCCTATATATATTCTTATAGTATGAACCTTCTCATATTTCCATCACTTATCATAAGTACATATACAAGTATTCAAACAATGGATCAAGGAAACGTAAACAAAATAATTTTCCTCAAACTACCATTTGTCTTATAATTTAAAATAATACTAGATACAATTTATATTTATAAATATATATTAGAAACTTTGTTTACTCAACCCACCACTTAAGCTATTCTTTTTTTTAAATAATACTAGGTAAAAAAATATATGTATATAATATAAATATATACATACACAAAGTAATTTTCAAAGCTATAAATGAACATAATTGGTACATAATCTTATTGCACTGATGCAGGGACAATAAGTAAAAGTGTGTACAAATGCTAGGGAATGTTTACATAAGTAAAGGAAATGTAAAGAAAAAAGTAATGTATATTGTTATACAAAAGGCAACTCAAAGCTTTCCAGCAGAAAGATAGAGTCATTATGACTGTAATAATGAATACAATTTTGTGCAGGTCTGAGCTTGGTTATGTACACTTGTAAACAATCACAAAGGGCTAAAATAAGACAACTCTGAGTTAAAAGCCAGTGGGTTATTGTTCTCTCAAACACAGGATAACCACAATATTTCCATAGAACTTTGGAACCAGTTGTAATAGAAAAAAAATTACATAAAAAAGAATTTGTTTATAAGCTTAAATGGTTTACTATGTTTTTATCGATTTAAAAAAACAGCAATCAATTACATAAATGGCACTTATGAAAATTTAAAAATTCTATTCTTGCTTAAGTATTAATCTTGATCTGTAGGAATTTAATGTTTTTATGCTGGATTTCTAGATCTAGAAAAGCATTCCATTCTAAATACTTTCCACTTATTTAGTCATCCTGAAAAAAAAGAGTATTAAATAAAAAATGAGAATTCTTTTATCAATTTATCTTTATATAAAAAAAGCTGTTATACTATTTACCCATTCATCATCTTCAACACCTTCAGTTAAGTCTTGCGGTAACGGCTCACTTGAAATCTCCAGCTTCCCAACAATAGCGTTCAGCAACTGGAGAAGAGAGTGTCATGACTTTAAAGTTAAGTAGTCTAACATTTCTTTTAATTGAAACTGAAGATTTCTACAATAGTTGGTTAAGCACTACGTTTGGTCAGTAGAAGCACTTTTTTTCCAAATCGTATGCTCAAATTTAGAAAAAGGCAAAAACCACAGATGGGTTGTTTTTTTTTTAAATCTACAAGAATTGACAAAACAATGAAAAACAAAACTCATTTTAACAATATGGAAAAGACATGTTTTTCGCCATGTTTCGACATGTTTTTTCCTGATTTAACTTGGTTATTTTAGTATAAGCACCTTTCCTATTTTAGTTTTTTTTAGAGCTAGTTTAAATCTAGAAAAAGTACAGTTACCTCCTCCTTTTTCTGCTCATCTGTTTTAAAAGTTTCAGGGTTAAAACTTTCAAATTTTTTCACTTTCTGAACTTCCACAGGTGCTTGGCTCACTGAAACATAGGTTTCAAACATTTATTAATGTTCAAAAACTGTCTCTCAAATAATATAATGTACAAATTCACAGCTAAAATCTATTCCATTTCTGTAATTTTTGTGTTAAAGAACAACAACTCTATAATTTACATGGTGTCATGTCTGAGGGTTTCATGCTCTTGGTTCTCTGGGGCTTGTCTTTTCCTTGCAGCCATTCTTCAGCAGTTAGAGTAGGCTCCCATGTGACTCTGGTGTCAGGATACAAATCATCTTGGAAAAACTCGGTCTGGATTAAAATAACATTCATAAAAAAAGATTTAAATAATTAAAATATCGTTTGCATACTTGATTTCTCTTATGACTTATATTTAAAATATTTTGGATATGGGATATTTTTTATTTAAAAAGTTCAAATTATTACCTATCAGGTTTATAAGAAAAAGCCCATGATAAAATTAATGTTTTAAGATTTAAATAAAATACAATATATAATCACAAAGTATTGTACATATATCCTGATTAATGCATATGGTTGGAATATCTTTTTTTTAAATTTGAGCTTTTGATATTTGCTTAAAAAATCTTAACACATTTAGAATTACAACATAAATTAGTGTAGCCAGGCAGCAGACCCACCTTTACTCTAGGCACAGTAAATGAGATCGCTTCAACGCTGTTCAAAGTCAGCCTCCACGCTCTAGCCACTTCCACCTTTCTCACGTCGCACACACTTTTAGGCAGGTAGGAGGCGGCTTGATGCAGGCCGTCCAGCTTACAGGTGGCGCACTCAAACAGGTAAGGCTCTTCTTCAGACACCTCAAAGGTGTAGATCAGACGTTCACCCTACAGGTAAAAATAAGGTATCATTTTCTTTAAGATTATCGCAATAATATATAGGTCTATGCTTTACTTTTTTTTAAAATCTTGACACCTATGTTAACACACCTAAAATAAGATTTCTGTAAAACAGCATGAATAGATATTTAAAAAGTTGACCTGGAATATCTGATGAAACTCACCCTACATGTTAGGAAAACAACTGAGCTGTCGGGGTCGTAGAAGGGGATCAAGATGGCTGGGGACACAGTTAGATCAACATGATTCAGACGTTCAAGGTCGCTAACTCGGTAGATTATAAGCTGTTGCAATGATGCCCTATGGAAAAAAAAAATTAAAATCCTGTTTACATAATGCATTGAAATTGACTGTCACAATTTTTTCAAGTTTAAAAAAAAAAATCTACATTTTTAAACAAATGTTTTAAGAGTCTACATTTAAAGCAAAATTAATAATCTTACAAGTTTTAAATAAACAGAAAGTTCAATATGTTTTAAACTAAACAGAGAACTCACTTATCAAAGCCTGAGACAATCAAATATTTGTCTTGAAGAACCCACTCGACCCTAGCACCTCTTATGCCAGCAGGCCCAGTTCCTTTCTGTAACATTTAGTTAGTGTTGTAAGCCAAAATAAATATTTATTAATTAAACAAATTAAAAAATTGAAAAGTAATTATAATATCCAAAGGCAAAAAACAAATCTGGCATATGATTGGAAGCCATTCACTGTGCAAGCTGTACTACAACCAAAAACAATATCTAGAAAATTATCAAATTTATCGGTAACAAAATAATACTGGTGGAATGATTTATAAATTACATTAAAATGACCAGATAAAATCAGCAGGCTGATTTCCAGAATGCAATAAATGATTACCTTAAAATTAAAGACATCAACAATATACACATCATACTTTATTAACACATAAAAGATTAATACATTTTGCTATTATAACTATCTTAAATGCCAAAATAAACTTTAAAAAAAGTTAAGAATATAATTTTAAAAAATTCTCTGTACTGATAGTGATACACTGGTTTTAAACTAAAATAATTGCAGACATGGATACAGTTTTAGAGCAGATAAGTTGGATTAAAAAAACAATTTTTAACAATTAAATGGAAGATAAAAAAATCTAAATACTTTGGTGTTTTCAAATACGTTTAATGAAAAATGAGACTTTTTAACTAATGGTTTCAGGAATTCTAAAATGACGCGACCCATGACATGCAACAACGCAAACATCTAAAGCATTGCATTATCTCAGGCAATGGTGTTTCAAAAACCAACTACAGCAACCACACAATTGTCAAACAAACACAACCACTGACTGGTGTTACAGATCACTTGTGTTTATACAAAAACAAGTTGACAAGACTAAGGCATTCATAGGGTCCAATGCATTCTGGGACAGCTTGAATTGACATAGATTTTACTCACAGACATTAGATATTTTTCTTCAACACTGACTTGATAGAAAATCAAAAACATCAGTAAGTAAACAGTTTTTTTTTTTTTTTGCTTAGAGAGGGGAGAAAAAAAAATAACCCAGAAAAAAAGAAAACTGCTAAATGGTTTAGGTATTCTAAGTAATTCAGCTTTATTTACAACATTGTAAATATGAAACTATTTGAAAATTCTACGCTAGTTTTAAAAAATATTTTGATTCACATTAACCTTACCTTTAGTGGCGATGTGTTTTTCCTTGGCTCAAAAATTCGAACAAATCCATCTTTTGACACAGTTGCACAAAACTTTCCATCAGAGCTCCACGACAAACAAAAAACCTTTTTTAAAAAAAACGAAATAAATTTTTATATAATTTTCTAAATTAAGTTACCTCTATAGATTTGTTAAGCATGAAATGTGTGTAAACATTGGCAGATAAAAGTATAAAGAGGACTATTAAAGACTCGGCTCTTAAAAAATTCTTTAAGATGGACCAGAAAGAACGTTTTGCAAAGTAAATTTTAATCCTTTACAATATTTAGCTCCCCAAATGCTCAAACGATCTAAAACCGGTAAGCTACCCAATGGTTTAAACTCACTTGGTCATCATGACCTTCCAGTCTGAGAACTTCCTTCCTCTGTTTCAAGTCCCACATGCGAACTGTCATGTCGTAGGACGCTGTGGTGATCAGGTCTGATGCCAGAGGATGAAACCTGACGAAGTAGATTTTCTCCATGTGCCCTGGGGACAGGGAGAGAAAAAAATTATCCTTTCAAATCTGGCGGTCAATTGGGTTCATCTGATTCTGGAACCTTAGCATATGAAGGGATAGTATGGTCAGAACTATGCCCAGCAGTCTTTACTGTGTTATGTACCCTTCAGGACCGTGTGGACAACCTATGGACTCAGGACCATGATCCGAACTCCAGACTTTCAGGTGAGCAGTTGTGTGCTCTACCATCTAGCCAGGCCATCTCATCAAAAAATTTGGAACTCAGATAGTTTTACATTTTTAAAAAGTATTTTATGAATCTTGCATAGATAATATCACACCTTAATGTATAGATTTTTAAAAGTATTTTATAAATCTTGTATAGATAATATCACACCTTAATGAATAGTTTTTTAAAGTCTTTTATAAATCTTGCATAGATAATCACACTTTTTTGTATAGTTTTTAAGTACTCTATAAATCTTGCATAGATAACATCACACTTTAAAATGAGACAGTGGATGATTAGCTGGTTGCTGTATTACAAAAATAAAAATACCTTTCATAGAAAATTCTGGCTCCTCCAAATTTTCAGTTATCCCCCCTTCTGGAATTCTCCAGACATTTACTTTGGCATTGTCAGTGACTGAAAGATTAAAGATTAACATAATTTTCAGACTTTGGTAATAAATAACCTTGTAGAACAGAATAAGCAGACAGAAATTAATAATGATAAGCAGTAAATTATAGTTTCCTTACACACAACCTAGCAAACATACTTAATCCTAATGTCTAGCAGTTTAGTAGATAAAGCAAATTGGTAATGAACTTAACTAAATACATTATAGTTTGATTCCTGAGTTTAATTTTTTTGAAGATCATGTAAGTCAAAATTTTGTCTATATTTGATACATAAGTTATTTCAAGCAGTTTGCTAAAGATTGAAATTTTTGACAGTGTATATAAAGCTTTACTTTTAGTATAATTAACTTTAATTTGAGTATAATTAACATTAATCTGAGTATAATTAACACAAATTTAAGAGTCAAAAAAAAAAATTCCATAATTAACATTAATCTAAGTATAATTAATAAAAATTTAAGATTAAAAAAAAAAAAATAATTCCACACCAACAACTAGCCTGCTGTCATCAAAAGGGTCCCAAGCGAAGTCAACGACCTTACTGCCATTCTGTATCACAGGTACCCCTGTGTCTGGAAGTCTTGATGCTTGAGAAAACTGTTCACAGAGACAAAATTATTGTGTTCACAGAGACAAAATTATTGTGTTCAATAGTTTTACAGAGACAAAATTATTGTGTTCAATAGTTTTACAGAGACAAAATTATTGTGTTCAATAGTTCACAGGGACAAAATTATTATGTTCAATAGTTCACAGGGACAAAATTATTGTTCATCAGTTTTACAGAGACAAAATTATTGTGTTCATAGGGACAAAATTATTGTGTTCAATAGTTCACAGGGACAAAATTATTGTGTTCAATAGTTCACAGGGACAAAATTATTATGTTCAATAGTTCACAGGGACAAAATTATTGTTCATCAGTTTTACAGAGACAAAATTATTGTGTTCATAGGGACAAAATTATTGTGTTCAATAGTTCACAGGGACAAAATTATTGTGTTCAATAGTTCACAGGGACAAAATTATTGTGTTCAATAGTTCACAGGGACAAAATTATTGTGTTCAATAGTTCACAGGGACAAAATTATTGTGTTCAATAGTTCACAGGGACAAAATTATTGTGTTCAATAGTTCACAGGGACAAAATTATTGTGTTCAATAGTTCACAGGGACAAAATTATTGTGTTCAATAGTTCACAGGGACAAAATTATTGTTCATCAGTTTTACAGAGACAAAATTATTGAGTTCACAGGGACAAAATTATTGTGTTCATTAGTTTTATAGGGACAAAATTATTGTGTTCATTAGTTTTATGCTATATGGACAAAATAAGTGTTACAGGGACACAATTATTGTGTTCATTGATTTTACAGGGACAAAATAATTGTGTTAATTAGCTTTACAGAGACAACATTATTTTGTTCATTACTTTTATAAAAACATGCAGAGACATGCAGACAGATTTACCTCAAAGACATGCAGACAGATTTACCTCAAAGACAGATTTACCTCAAAGACATGCAGACAGATTTACCTCAAAGACATGCAGACAGATTTACCTCAAAGACATGCAGACAGATTTACCTCAAAGACATGCAGACAGATTTACCTCAAAGACATGCAGACAGATTTACCTTAAAGACATGCAGACAGATTTACCTCAAAGACATGCAGACAGATTTACCTCAAAGACATGCAGACAGATTTACCTCAAAGACATGCAGACAGATTTACCTCAAAGACATGCAGACAGCCGCCAAGACTGTCTGTGGGAACAGCGCACCGGGTGACATTTGCAGCAAACATGTCGCTCTCTCCTGGCATTGTCTTACACACGTTACGCACGTTGGTAATGAAACAGCTGGGGTGGAGCAAGTGACCTTGTACGTGCCGGAACTTGGACTGCCGTACACCTGTGTTTAGACGTGGGTAGGTGTCAAGCTATCGTGTCTAGGACATAACCCTCTTTACCAATATATCTCCTGTACCCCATGGTAAATATTCCTTATACATTCTATTGGTAAAGTGAGAAACCTGACATTGTATAAAACACCAAGGCGTTATATACAATGTTTAAAATATATTTTGTACTTGAGTATTTTGACATGAGTCAAATACCTATCAGGTATCTATAAGGGATGCCTTATGGACTAGAGATCCAAACTTGAAATTTTTGGGCTACTAGTTATGTGCTCTACCATTTAACCACATCATACAATATGTACTGAATTTAGCACAAACAATTAAAGGAGATGATTTGTGCTATAACAAATTATTTTAACACCCTAATTACCTTTTTTTATCTAATTTTATCTTTTTTTTTTTTTTTACTAAATGACTAATCAACTACAATAAATTTTGGAGTGTAAACTCAAATTTTAACTGGGTACGGAGCAACAAAAGAACACTAGATGACATCAGGGTGTTCTGATTTTGTAAATGTTCCCTCTGTGCACAGAGCAACAACAGAACACTAGAAGGCATCAAGGCATTCTGATGGACACAAAGAAACAATAGAACACTAGATGACATCAGGGTGTTCTGATTTTGTAAATGTTACCTGGAAATGGCTTGAGGGGTTTTGGGTTAGGATTTTCTTCTGGGACAGCAGGTTTCTGAATGGGTTTTGTCCCTTGATTCACTGCAGGCTTCACTGGGCTGGGGGCTGTAACAGTTTCTTTCTTGTCTGCAGGAGAAGGGATTGTCTGCTCTTTGACTACAGTTTTTTCAGTTTCTTTTATCTGAAAACAAATTAATATTATTTGATAATAGATCTACTTATCACATTGTAATTTTAGTAGAATTATCATCTTAGAATGACTAAAATATTCAATATACATTTCCTAATGTAATGTTCCTGTTTTAAGATATGAACTTAGAAATTTTTATTAAAATACATTACTACTTGGTGCTAAATTAAAATGTGGATTTCACATAACTACTAGGTGCTAAATAAAATGTGAACATCACATCAATACAAGGTGCTAAATAAAAATGTGAATATCACATTAATACAAGGTGCTAAATAAAATGTGAATATCACATTAATACAAGGTGCTAAATAAAATTTGAATATCACATCACTACTTGGTGCTAAATTAAAATGTGGATGGTAAATTTGTTAAAAACTTGAACTTACTGTCTGTTTTACTGCAGCCTCTCCACTAGGCTGTTGGTCATGTTTGGGTGGGGGAGAGGCTTGTACAGGGGGTGATGGGGGTGAGGGAGAGCCACTGGTCAAACAACCTCTCCTGTCTCGCCTGATCAACTGTTTACACGGCTCAAGCTTGACAAATTTGGGCTGGAACAAACATTTGAAATAGATTTTACACTAGTTTTACACAGGTTTTACATTAGTTTTACAAGTTTGATACATTTGGGTTAAGTTTTATAATAGAATATTTCAGATAAATATTGCAAGCGTTTTTCACTTCACTTACATTGGTGCTCTGTCCACTTAGCCATTGGTCAGCAGTTAGAGATGGTTCACCTCCTTGGGTGTCTGGGTACAAATCAGAATGGAAGTCCCTGTATGACTGCAATTAATATTAGGACAAGTCAAAACTATGAACTAACATTTTGGTCTAGAACAGTGGCTCTTAAACGTTTTAGAGGCACCAAACCCCACCAGTTTTATATGCACATTCGCCGAACTAAACATCTAAAATCAATCAATATTAGTTACTGACTTTGCGAGGCACAATGTAGGAGGCAGGCAGGATGGTGTTGCGACATAGGACCAAGAGTCTGTTGACCTCTCCATCCATTAAGTTCATGGCTCGCTTTGGCACCAGAGCAGCGCCTTTGATTTGTTCAACCCTGTCAACTCCACCTGGTGGGAGGATATGTCTTTGTTGACATACTCATTGTACAACTTTTCTATAAATGAATTCCTTTTGCCAGATATATTATTTAAAAACATGCCATTTCTATTGGGGTTTTTTTTGGGTGTTTTTAAATTTGTTTTCGTTTTTTTAATGAACCGGTATGTGAGTAGTAAATAATATTACACAAGACATAAATTCCTTTAGCTAAAAAGTCACCTTACTGAACTTTTCATACTAAAATACTGAGGGTTTAACCAGTTCAACTAACTAAAACATCAAATAAGGGCTTGAGGTATAGATCTTTAATGTGTTATAAATTAAACATTGTCAAACTTTACCTGGTGTGAGGTAGGGGTCTCTGTCTGTCAGTTCTAGGAAATTCAGTGATGTATCACCCTATTTTACAGAAAAATAACAGCCATAACTACACAATTATGAGATTCAATATCTTTTTAGCCTCATGCAATAATTCATTATAAACAGCCTATAAATTGTTTTGCAACATGTTGCAACCAATTCAATTTGGGCTATTTTTGTAACTTAAATTAACGGATAAACAATACTGACCTTGCCAATTAAGAAGGTCATATTTGTGTCAGGGTCAAAGAAAGGCATGATGGTCCTGGAAAATTGTGAAAAATTTAATAGCTAGAGATTAAGTAAATCACCACTACACTGTTCAAGCTTAGTATTAAGTGAAAAACTACAATAGCATAGATTTACAAAATGAAGTTAAAAGATAATCTAAAAAAAATGTCAAAGCTATTTAAATTAATACAACATTTTTTATGAATGATTCACCACAAAAAAACTTAAAACTGCAGAAAATTCTTAAACTAGATCTCATTAAAATATAAAATTCATTATTAATTATTCACCATAAAAAACAAAACAGCTGTAAATTATTGAATGAAAAACTACAAAAGACTATAGTTTATTATTAAATAAACAATTAGCCATTAAATTATGAAACAAATATTTTAAGGGACTAGTGCAATTGAGTAAAAAAGAGACCATTATATGAAACAAAAACAAGAGACCATTATATGAAACAAAAACAAGAGACCATTATATGAAACAAAAACAAGAGACCATTATATGAAACAAAAACAAGAGGCCATTATATGAAACAAAAACAAGAGGCCATTATATGAAACAAAAACAAGAGGCCATCATATGAAACAAAAACAAGAGGCCATTATATGAAACAAAAACAAGAGGCCATTATATGAAACAAAAACAAGAGGCCATCATATGAAACAAAAACAAGAGGCCATTATATGAAACAAAAACAAGAGGCCATCATATGAAACAAAAACAAGAGGCCATTATATGAAACAAAAACAAGAGGCCATTATATGAAACAAAAACAAGAGGCCATTATATGAAACAAAAACAAGAGGCCATCATATGAAACAAAAACATGAGGCCATTATATGAAACAAAAACAAGAGGCCATTATATGAAACCTACCCAGTGGAGGAGTCAAGGTCCATGGATGTCAATGACGAGGAAAGATTTTTTGGGTCCCAAACTCTAACTTCTCTGTTCCTAGACTATAAGACATCAAATGTGACTTTCTTTTAGTCTTGTGTGATATTTATTATAATGCATCCAAGCTTAATTACTAAGACAGTATAAGTTTTGGTGTCTTTGGGTGTTAGAAAGCATACTGATTATTTTGCTGTTATGTGTGGGTCTTAGACATCATACTTTGCTATTATGTAAGGGCTATTAGACAGCAAATGTATGAGGAGAAACACAAAAACCATATAACATGACATTCACAGTAGCATGTCGTAGGCAAGAGCAAAGAGTGCACGTAAGTCAAACCTGACTTCTATCAATCTAGAATGATTTGTAAAATATCCTGTAGCTAGTCTGCTACACACAATAATTTGTAAAATATCCTGCAGCTAGCCTGCTACACACAATGATTTGTAAAATATCCTATCAGCTTTTACAATATTTTCTTTTAAACTGAACTATTTAAAAAAAAAAACAACCTACAAAACATTGAATAAAGCTGGTAAATCTTAACGACATAAAAGATAACTAAAAGCTAATACAGCCTCCATAAGGTGAGTCAGTGATTAGAACACATAATGCTAAAATTACCTGGCTAAAGCCTGTAGAGAGGATTAAATTTTTGCCAGATAGCCAAAGCACCCTGGAATCTTTTACATTCTGATGACCATTTCCTTCCTGTGTATTCATTAATAAAAATTTTAAAAGTGTAAGTAATAATTAAATCAGTTTTACGTAGGAATTTAGTTTCATACATTCATTTTAAAAGCTATTAAAGTGATATATTAAATTTGCCAACATAAATAACAGATTCTAAAAAATGATTTCCATGTTGGCTAAGAAATATAACAAAACGTAAACAGATTTGGTAATAGAAAAATAAAAAAGTAAAAAGTATATCTCCCTCATTTCACCAGTCTAAAATGACTGAAAATGAATATCAAAATAGTTTTTTCTCCTTTCCCTGATTCAGTTGGACAGAGAGCTGTAATGAATGTTAAAACAATGTCATAACTTAGATAGATTGAGCCAAAACTAAACTTTTAATCTACCTGTACAACTGTGCCAGCTCGGGGGTCAATTATTCGAATTTTCTTATCTTTACTGGAGGTGACCAGAAGAGCTCCATCCTCTTGCCAGGACACACTCTGAACTTGATCCCCATGGTTAGCAAAACCTGTTGAATGACATTTACATTAAACAAAACCTCAACCACTTAACAGCTGTGTTTAAAATTAGAAATAATTCAACCCATAATTATTTTAATTGTGTGCTGGAATTATTTTTTTATAGGCCAAGTAGTGAAAAGACTCATACATTTCTACTGTTTATTTAAAAAGTACACATTATGTAGATACAATAATTATAATTCTCTACACAAAAAATGATATAAACTTTGAGTGATAATATATTCTCGAGTTCAAATCCGGGTTAAAGTCAGAAGACCATCCCTGAGTCCACCCAACTCTGATGGGTACCTAACTCACATTAGGGAAAGTAAAGGTGGCTAGGCATAGTGCTGACCACACTATCTCTTCATATGCCGAGGTCACAGAAACAAGTGAACTCTACTTCACTTGCCCTATAGACCGTTAGGTTTGAAAAGGGAACTTTACTTACTTAATAATATATATTGAGAACAAACATGTATAGGCCTACTTAATTTTAGAATTGAAAAAAAAATCTTTTTGAAAAATGAACTTGTAAACGTTACTACCTAATTTTTTCAGTAATTTTTTTAATAAAATAAAAAAAAACATATTTTTCAATAAATGTATTGCATTTGTATTAGAGCAAATATTTTTGCTTGGTAAATTATTTTATATATGTATGTAACTGTTTAGATGCTGCCAATCTATATGTACAACAGTGCTATACAAATGACACTTTTTAAGTACGTTCACACACAAAATTTCTTAAAAATACAAAATCAGCTTTACAGAAAACTACAAGAGGTGAAGATATTCTAAAGTCTAATTTTAGTCACAGTCTCACAGACTGTAAATTTAAAAGTGTTGACTAAATTTAAAATCGTTGACTAAATTTAAAATCGTTGACTAAATTTAAAAGTGCTTTTTAAAAGCGTCGACTAAATTTAAAAGTGTTTTTTTAAAGCGTTGACTAAATTTAAAAGTGTTGACTAAAATTAAATGCGTTGACTAAATTTAAATGCGTTGACTAAATTTAAATGCGTTGACTAAATTTAAAAGCGATGACTGACTAAATTTAAAAGTGTTGACTAACCAAAGACTTCTCTTCCAGAAGATCCAGTTACATCATACAATTTAACTGTAGTATTGTAAGTCACAGCAAGTATCCCGTCAACTTGAGGATTCCACAAAACATTTTCAACACGACGATCAAAGACAGGTAAAGATAATACTGGCTCAGAGATATTGGTTGGCGAGGACTCGTTTGGCAAAAGCCATAAACTTACCTACAAAGTTATAGAGAAATATATGTTACATATATTTTTATACAGGTACATTTGTTCAGCAGCAAAAGTAAGAAAAGTAAAATCTTAACATCTAACTGACAAAATTTACTTTATTATCTTGAGAAGCTGTTGCTAGGAGATAATCATCAAAGGGAGAGAAATCTAGATCAGTGACAAAATCTGAAAAAAAGTTTAATGAAGGTTTAAATTCTTTAGAGAACATTTCAGTACTTTATTAAACAAAGTTATTTGAAAATTCATAATAAAATGTATTACATGAAATATCTTGCACTAGTTGTTTAAAGAAACCATTTCCTAGAGTGATTGATAAAAGGGGTGGGGGTGTAATTTGTGCATTCCAAATTTAACAGGAGTATGCACAAAAAAAAGCCTAACCAAAAATGCAAACATTACAAACAATATTTCATTACTTAACAAAAGTGTTGTGGATAATTAAGATAAAATAATTGTTACCTCCGTGTGCTTGGATAATAGGCAGAGATCCTCCTTGACGACCAGTAGCATTGAGGGGGAGGTAACCAAGATTGCCACCACCTGCAATATAAAAAATGTAAACAGCCATGTTTAAGTTTAAGTAATTGTTTCTTAGTATAAAAGTTCTCAGCCAGTGTTTATTTTTTAAAAAACATGTCATCTGTAAGGTTGATATAAGCAGTACCTACCACCAGAGTCGACATTAAATGCAACATAAACACAGCTGGACTTGATGTGATTACCACAGGACTGGTTCACATCACTCACTGGAATGTCTTGAATTATTTCCTACAGATAGTAATACAATGAGTTCATTTATTTTAACAGCCAGGATTATATATCATTAATACCCTAATAGACTCTAGGTGTTTCATGCTTTCTTCATCCTCTTGAATAAGGAATGAACTCATTTTAATAATGATATGGATTATGGAAAGAAAAATATTCGAAAAGATATAACTGGGAACAGGTGGTGATACTCGCCTCTTTTTTAGGAAATTTCGGAGCTGCATTTTTATATTTAGAGACTTTAAATCGCCATGACATTTTCTGAGGAGAGAATAAATTCATGTTAGTTGAATTAATACATTTAATTTAAAATTTAAATACATATAGGCTAAATATAATCATTAAAAAAATGACTTGTTTTAACCCCTTAATGCCTGAATTATGTTCCAAGCGTGTAAAAAATTATTTGTGCTGATTTTCTCTCATCATACTGACACTGAATTTGAGGTATATAGTTGTTTTTGAATTTGGACTTATTTTTGATGATAATTACGGTATGTCGCGAAAACGCGACATCAGGCACTTATGGACCAAACAGTAATTTAATTTTTTTTTTAGTCCGGGTCATTTTACTATTTTTACTGTCACTTGTTTCTCTAAATATCCATGCACAAACAATAACATATCATAAACTGAACATACGGACATGCAAGGAGATGTAGAATCACTTGCAAAACTCATGAAAACTATATTTTATTAGCTCAGGCATAGAGTTACATAACTCTGCTGCACCTGCTCACTGACTAACTCTTATGAATAGGTATTTTGATGTCCTGCTGTCGTAATTCTACTACACTACAGTTACACACTACATATGGAAGGACTTCCTTCAATGTGTAGAGCCTTAGTTGTCCCCGGTTACGTAATTTTCGTGAACTCTTATTCAAGGTCAACTAATAAAGACGCATATTTCTCATTTGACCTATATTTGCTATACACACAAAGCACGTGAACAAATACTGTCCTAAATGACAGTGTTCAGCCTTTGTATATTCGTCTATGCTCAATTCAGCTGCTGTGGGTACTTAGTGTTACTGCTGTGGGTACTCAGTGCCACCGGTGTGGGTACTCACTGCTATTGTTGATGGTACCCTATGTTTCCGATTCGTGCTACGGCTATTGTACTCGACTGATTCTGATATTGATTACCAATGACAGTGCTGTAGCTACATATTGCCACTGCTATGGGTACTCAGTGCTGAAACAGTGGGTACTGAGTGTTGAAGCCATGTGTACTGAGTGCTGAAGCTGTGGGTACTCACTGTTGAAGCTGTGAGTATTCAGTGTTACTGCAGTCGGTTCTTGGTGTCACTGCTGTGGGTACTCAGCGCTGGAGCTGTTAGTAATCGATAACGTTGATATAGGTACTCAGCCTTAGCAGTGGGTACTCGGTAGCACTGCTGCGAGTGCTTATTGCTCAAACTGTGGTTGCTCAGTGTCACTGATGTTGGTTCTCAGTGCTGAAGATGTGGGTACTCAATAACACAGCTGTAGGTACTAAATGCCAGTATAATGCCACTAATGTGGGTATTCAATAGCACTGCAAAGGGTATGTGTGTCAGCACTCAACCTTACTGTATTTATTACGAGGTGTAGGTCTATGCTCAGTGTAATTATTGTCAAGGTCACTGTGAAGACCTTTATTTGGTGGTCAGAGCCGGCGTTAGGGGGTGGCGAACGGGGCGGTCGCCATAGGCCCCGCGCTTGAAGGGGCCCCGCGCTTTAGCACTGTCATTGTTACCTGAATTAGTTTGTAAACTAAAATAAATTGTTGCTGAATTCAATGGGGAAAAACTAAATGGCCGAATGCCGACGTTGTTGATTGTTATAACTGAGGCCACGGTTGATGTTAGTGAGTTATCACCCACCTGAAATGGGACAGGCCGTAATTCGATACAAAAACAGTGTCACACCTCCCCTTTGTGTAGGGTACGGTCGCCTGGCATTTGACCTGAGCTGACTGGAGATGGCGGTCGAGAATTAGCCCACGACGTAAAGAAATACCCTATTGTATGCGGACCCATGAAGACGTCCTTTTAGTGAGTAGACGGGATGTCTGTAGTAGACAGAGGCGTAGCGGGGGGGGGGGGGGGGGGACATATGTCCCCGGGCGCCGACCTTAGGGGGGGGGGCGCCAAATTGAATGTTTGAGGGGGGGGTGCAAATGAAAAGTTCGAGAGGGGGGTGCAAATCGAAAGTTTGTCCCCGGGCGCCGGGAAGGGTCGCTACGCCTCTGGTAGTAGACAGTTAGTGACCTGATGAACTCTAGTCCTGACTTTCTTGTTGTAGATGTCGTATAATGTCGTGTACAGTGTTTCTTCCAGACTTTTTTTCTCCGGGGGGGGGGGGGGGGGGAGGGGCACTTGAAATTTTCGAAGAGATGCCTGGAAGAAACTCTATATGTAGGCCTACTTGTCTTGGTATAACAAAATTAACATTCAGTTGCGTGCAGAGGGGTGGGAGGAGGGCGACGAGGGGGGGGGGGGGCGCCTTAGGATCTATATCAGGCGGCATTAAACAGAGTGATTTATTATTATTTTTTGGAAGAAATTTAAAACTGTTGTTATGTTGTGTCACCTTAAGGATTCACCCGTTCAATAATTAAGACAATAATGTTTTTGGTTTTAAAATATTGTATGAATTCTAAACAAATTTTGAAGTCTATATTGTTTTGATACATAAGGCCGAGTTCGCTGTATTGTAAACTTTATTTTCCTAATTATTCGGCACGTGATTAAATTTTCTTAAGTGATTTGGTATGAATTACATAACTGTCAAAAGTGATTTAATATCTTAGCAAAAGAAAAAAAAACTACGAACATTGGGTTAATACATGGGAGAGATAAAAGTCTGTTATTATAGTGGAAAGTTTGACATTAGCTTATAAACTCCAAAACATCACATTATATAGGCCTTTATACATACACACACACACACACACACACATATATATATATATATATATATATATATATATATATATATATATATATATATATATATATATATATATATATATATATATATATATATATATATATATATATATATATATATATATATATATATATATATATGTATATATATAATGGAAAGGCCCCGCGCGGATGGTTGGCCATAGGCCCCGCGTATTCCTAACGCCGGCTCTGTTGGTGGTATCCAGGATAGTAGTCCACCACCTCACTTCCTGTTGCCTTATTTGTTTTTTATGTTCTCCTAATATTATACAATACTATTTCAAAGCTAAATTCGTTATATTGTACCCAGCAACATGATCACATTTTTCAAGCATCGCTCTCTCTCCATATGCCAATGTCAATGAAACAGGTGAACTCTACTTCACCTACCACATGGACCGTAACGTTCTAAAGTGCACTTTTATATATTGGCGAAGACTATATTGTAAATCCTTTACTTATTTATAATCATACTTGAATGAATGACAGCTTGGCGATGCATCGTATTTCGTTATACCTGCTTGGCACCCAAGTTCCATTTGATGTCTTATTGCCGGATGTCGCGAAAACGCGACAAACCGTAATTAGCAGATAACTTCCAAAATTATTCTCATATGTGATTTATATTGTTTATATACATAAAAGAATGAATAGTAAAGCTGTTAGTATTTTTTGCAGCAAAAACTGATCACCTATTTAGTAATAATAATCAATGTAAGTAGGCTGAATTCACGAAGTCAAAAAAATTACGATGCGCGTGAGTCAAGAGAGTGTGACGTCATAAATTTCGACTTGACAACGTGACCGCTGGTACCGATACAACCGTCTGGATGTACCCAATACACAACAACCGGCAGCAGTAGGATAAATGTACATATGCGCAAATGCTATGCGCTAAATCGGTATGTCGCGAAAACGCGACTGTCGGCGTTAAGGGGTTAAATAAGAAGTAAATCAGTAGGTAATTGGGCCTACTTGAAAAGTATAAAAGATTAAAAAGGCCTGATAAACCTAATTAATTAATCAATAGGGCTGAATAGGGCATAATTAGTAATATTATAAATTAATAATTAATATTAGGTATGGCAGTAATTATTTAATATTTATTATTATTATTTAAAAGGCCTAATCCAGAGCTAATATTTTAAAATTTTAATAATTAGTACAAGCACTATTATTATTTATTTAGGCCTAATCATAATAATTTAATAATTTCAAATCTTAGTAATTAGTATTGGCTTGCTTATTATTATTAATCAAATAATCAGTGATTAACCTAACTAATCAACAGGGACCTGAGTAGGGGGGCGTGGCTATTTATTTTTATTTTGTTTTAAAAAATAATAACTCAGACACAAGAAGTAGATTCTAGCACATAACAAAATAACATGTAACAATTTTGTGATACGCTGCTGCAAGGATTGAAAATATAACGCCATCAAACATTTACTCACTTAATACTGAAGTAGCTATGAGCTATTTCCGAGTTTAAATTAATAAAAAGATTAAAATGTCATGAACAAGGAAAAAACGAAAGTTGTAAAACCCGGAAGAAAGATTGCTGGCAGACCGGCGATTTAACCTCTGACCTTTCAACATAAAAAAACCAAACGATACATTTATGTAAATAAATAATAATTAATTACTAAAATATTTTAAATTGTTTTGAGGAAGCAAGACATATACGTATTTTAGTTTTAAGTAAGTTTTTTTAATACTTATTAATTAGCTGTCTTACAGAACTAGTGTGCATATAGATCTAGATAAAGTTTTTGTAGGTCTAAATTGTAATCAGCTGCGCACGATTTCCTTTTTCCTGCAATGGTTATTCATAAATGATATTATGACATCACACTTTTGACGTGTGTGGGGTGGAGGCTCGCCAAGCCAAAGGGATATAATAAAAAAATTCATAAAAAACGTTTTAATAACAAGCTTTTATGTAATGATGCACTAAAAAGTAGAAAATAAATTATAGACTACTATTTAAATAACTATAAAGAAAAGCGTGGGTCACTTTAGTATCTATTGGATACCTTTACTAATGTTAAGGAAGACACCCACGCTTTTCTTTATAGTTATTTAAATAGTAGTCTATAATTTATTTTCTACTTTTTAGTGCATCATTACATAAAAGCTTGTTATTAAAACGTTTTTTATGAATTTTTTTTCAGTACTTTACATGTTTTATCTACAATAGAGTTACATGACTAAAAACCATTGCGCGCCTAATGAATATCACGTTCAGTAGGCGCGCAATGGTTTTTGAACGCAGCCATTACGTGGTCGTGATGGCGCAGCTATTGATGACGCGTGTGGTGTGGTTGGCTAGACATGCCTACTAATTCGGTCCAAATTTTAATTAATTCATAAAAAATCAATTAGGCTTCCAATTAAGTCAAATTTAGTTTCAGATTGCATTGTCTTCATGTCTTGACCCACGTGCCAACTGTGAATCGTATCGGTCAAGTAGAACTGTCCGAATTTTCACTCCTGCGTTTCCGTCTAGACTGACGACAGACAGAGGAAGTGAGTTAAAAAAAAATTCATAAAAAACGTTTTAATAACAAGCTTTTATGTAACAATGCACTAAAAAGTAGAAAATAAATTATAGACTACTATTTAAATAACTATAAAGAAAAGCGTGGGTCACTTTAGTATCTATTGGATACCTTTACTAATGTTAAGGAAGACACCCACGCTTTTCTTTATAGTTATTTAAATAGTAGTCTATAATTTATTTTCTACTTTTTAGTGCATTGTTACATAAAAGCTTGTTATTAAAACGTTTTTTATGAATTTTTTTTTCAGTACTTTACATGTTTTATTTACAATAGAGTTACATGACTAAAAACCATTGCGCGCCAACTGAACATCACGTTCAGTAGGCGCGCAATGGTTTTTGAACGCAGCCATTACGTGATGGCGCAGCTATTGAAGGTGATGACGCGTGTGGTGTGGTTGGCTAGACATGCCTACTAATTCGGCCCAAATTTTAATTAATTAATAAAAAATTAATTAGGCATCCAATTAAGTCAAATTTAGTTTCAGATTGCATTGTCTTCATGTCTTGACCCACGTGCCAACTGTGAATCGTGTCGGTCAAGTAGAACTGTCCGAATTTTCACTCCTGCGTTTCTATCTAGACAGACTGTCGACAGACTGTCGACAGAGGAAGTGAGTTAAATAAAAGCTTGTAATAAAAGCTTGTAAAAACAAAGGCTGAATTTGAACTGAGTTTCACGCAGTCGCAGTATAGAAGAGACTGCTGCATGTCTTAACAGATTGCTTTACAGATTTTCTTCAATTGATTGTTTAACAGCCCTGCCCCAACTTTTCCAACTTTGGGGGGGGGGGGGGGGGGGGGACAACACAATAGAAATCTGTATTTCCTGACAGAAAATATTCTTTAAAAAAATTTTAAGACTAAAGAGTAGAGGCATATTTTTTTTATATGGCTAGTAGTTAAAGAAGTAGGAACATTATACTGCCTGATGAAAAAACAAAACGGGTTGATAAATATCACAAGATATTAAAAATAATTAAACAATAAGAGATTAGTTTTTTCAAATATATTTATTTCAGGCAGCAAATAATAATAATCATTTTTAATTGCAACAAAATTATAGTACATGTAAGTAGAGAGTTATCACCCTTTCACACTTCCACGCTTGACCTCTTTCAAGTCTCAAAAGTATACAGCCAATTACCTGCCCTTGTCATGCCTAGGAACATACACAGGCAAAAACCTTACATATCAATTCAAATAAAAACACTTGAAACTCCAGTTTCAATCACAAAGCCCAACAATGGCCATTTGTTTTCCCTCCCCACATGAATAAAGCACATCAGTTGGCAACAAGTAGTGATGCTAAAAATACAACAATAATGTACAAGGTCAGTAACCAGGTCACTGTACATGGTAACTGTATAATGTACACAGTCAGTGTACATGGTCACTGTACAGTGTACATGGTCAGTGTACAGGGTCACTGTACAAAGTACAGGGTCAGTGTACATGGTCAATGTACAATGTACACGGTCACTGCACAGGATCAGTGTAAACAGTGTACAATGCACAAGGTTAGTGTCCCTTCTGAAATAACATTCAATATATTTACAGCAAGTTAACAGCATGGCATATTCACTGGACTAATATACACACAGGACAAGACCAAAAATACTCTCAGTCTGTGGTTTGTAGATGGATGATTGGGTGAGATATAAAAAAAATACACAGGCTATCAATCTTAACCCTTTCAATTACAATCTGGTTCATCAGCTTGTAAAAACTAGGATTTTTACAACCTGAATACTACAAGGTAATATAAAGATCTAGGCGCTAAAAGTATTTAAGTCACAAAATAAAAACTTAAGACTTCGCAAAATCGAACTAAGTAAAAACATTTTTATTTTTTTAAAATTGTTTGAAAGAGGGTTTTAAGTAAATACCTCAGCCTTTGTACATGAGATAATGTCAAACTAAAGGAGTAACAACCATTGCTTGGTTTGATTTTCACAAGTGTGACTAAAATACTTTAAACCCTGGGTTCTTCATACAGAACTAAAAATTGGGACCAGCATTTATAAAAACTTACAATTATTGACCTACTTAATAGGACCAGATTAGGGTTAAAAAAATTGAAGAAAATGTGGTGAATCCTGCTGAATCCAGACAGCCCAGCAAGAAAAAATGGTGTGTACATCTGGAAAACAGTTAAGCATTAACAGCAGCTCTTGCAGAAAACACAGAAAATAGTTCATTAAACAACATTAATTACTTTAATAATCAGTAACATAATCATCATCAAAATAACATTATGATATGAAGGTGTCTATTTTTTTTTTTTGCCTGTCCGAATGTTATTTATAAGATCCTAAACTTATATTTTTTATGTCAGTGATTTTATGGTCAGAGTAAATTATCTCTGTAATGAATAAGCTATGCATGATAAATTTTGACATTTACTTTCCCATTAGTAGGGCTGTATAGAATATGGAGACAAACCCTGATAATGGGAAAGTACTGTTGCACATAATTAACATATTATTAATATTATAAAGACAAGAATGACATTTGACATGATGAAATGAACAGGGCAGCTGAGTACAGTGATTGGATGCTCACATCCCTTAACTGGCACACGACCGGTCCAAATGCTGCCAGATAAGATGACTAGTTTCAATGTGAAACAAATCAGTATTGGAATAAAAAAAATGTTTTTTTTTTCTTAGCTTCAATGTGAAACCAGACAATGATTTAAAAAAAAAAGTTTAAAAATAATATTTTTTTTCAAAAATGTAGCAAGCATACAATACTAGAGCTCTCTTAGTAGTGAGTTTTGAAAATTTGCACATTTTGAAACTTAAGATTTTCATTTTTATATTCTGACGAACTCATTTTTAACATAAAAACTAAAATTTTGTACACATTAAATATCAGCTTTAAAAATTAATACTTAAAATCTTTGTACAGCTTGGAGATTAAAAAATATCTCGTTCCCCACATTTACATCATTAGTGGTATTTTTTTTAAAGTTATCTACAAGTATGTATGTGCTACACTTTAAAACCAATTATTGTAAAATCCTTACGCAAAATATCAGCTGATGTTTAAAACAGCTGTTTACAATACATCTCCTGACAGCATTGTTTGCAAATATAACTTTTAAAATAACATCTTCAAAGTCAATAAAAATGTTTGTCCCAACTACTTAAACTTGCACGCAGTAGCCCCAACCTACCCTCATACAACCTTAAACCTGCTAGCAGTTGTCCCAACCTACCCTCATACAACCTTAAACCTGCTCGCAGTTGTCCCAACCTACCCTCATACAACCTTAAACCTGCTCGCAGTTGTCCCAACCTACCCTCATACAACCTTAAACCTGCTATTGGTTGTGCCAACCAACCCTCATACAACCTGCTTGCAGTTGTCCCAACCTACCCTCATACAACCTTAAACCTGCACGCAGTTGTCCCAACCTACCCTCATACAACGTTAAACCTGCTCGCAGTTGTCCCAACCTACCCTCATACTACTTAAAGCTGCTATCAGTTGTCCCAACCTACCCTCATACAACCTTAAACCTGCTCGCAGTTGTCCCAACCTACCCTCATACAACCTTAAACCTGCTATTGGTTGTGCCAACCAACCCTCATACAACCTGCTTGCAGTTGTCCCAACCTACCCTCATACAACCTTAAACCTGCTCGCAGTTGTCCCAACCTACCCTCATACAACCTTAAACCTGCTATTGGTTGTGCCAACCAACCCTCATACAACCTGCTTGCAGTTGTCCCAACCTACCCTCATACAACCTTAAACCTGCTATTGGTTGTGCCAACCAACCCTCATACAACCTACTCACAGTTGTCCCAACCTACCCTCATACTACTTAAACCTGCACACAGTAGCCCCATCCTATGCTCATACAATCTTAAACCTGCTTACAGGTAACACCAATCTGTGTTCAGTCAACAAGAGAGTTCAGAGCGACCAATACTTAATGCTGAGAAGTGAGCTATTGTTTTTGTCATCTTTTATCAATAAATAAAAAAAGTAAACCTGGAATGGCTCAAGTTGATGATAACAATAGTTAACGTGACGCAACCAGCGGACACACAAGACTAACATTCAGATTGTTCAACACACTAAACACTCTGATGTGATGGTTCAGAGTGTTCAAAACACTCTGATGTGATCGTTCAGAGTGTTAAACACACTAAAACACTCTGATACAATGGTTCAATGTGTTCAACACTTCACAGCAGAACAAACCAAAAATTTGCAAGAATTTGAAATAAACCCTATTCCTAAAGTAGGAGTCAAATCAATAAAAAGACTTAATCAAGAAACAAGATCACACAACTTCTTCACTGGGGGAGAAGAGTTACATAAATGATCAAAACGTTAATTAAACGTTACTCATTAGCTAATAATTTTAGGAAAACATAAATAATAGAGAAAGAAAACAAAGTGAAATATGCAGAAAAAATGTCATTAAAAAATGGAATATAAGCAAAGCAAGAAATTAAAACAAATGATCCAAGATGATTTTGACACTGATCCTCCAGTTCAGAAATTTGACATTAATCCTCATGATCTGAAATATATCTTTGCAAGCCAACCAACATAAGTTATCTTGTATGTAGTTGTTTATATGCAGAAGCCAGAATATATATCAAATTTAAACTCAGAAGATGCGAGACTGCACAAGTTATCGATCTGAATTTCCCAGAAAATCCCAGACAGTAAACATGAATCAACACCAGGAATAAAATACTTAACTCAATCATCAGTCAAAAGAGCGGAAATGACAACAATACAGCTATTTTTGACTGGTTACGGATCATTTTAAAAAATTGTTCCAATTAGTAAGAGAACTAACAGTTAAAAAAAAACAGCAATTACTTTTTTAAACATAACTATTGCAACAGTGCAAAAATAACCAATCTGCAACAGCTTCCTTTAGATGCAAAAAAGCATTAATGAATTAGATTCAAACTCAACTACTTGATCACAAAAATATTTGTAAAACCTGCTATAGTCAGCAGGTTAATTTCTTTGCATCTGGCTACGTAAAATATCACTCAAACATATATCACCATGACATACATGTAATCAACATCAACCAACTAAGCAAACTTTTGAACCTAACGTCAAGCAAAACTTCTTATCTCTAGTTTAAGCTGAGTCTGTATCGATTTGTCATTTCAGAATACAGTTAAAACAGAGCCCTTAAAATAATTTACTGTCATATAAATTAGCAACCGGTATTTGGGGGGTAGTGGTATTGTACACCTGGTCCATAACAAACTGTCTTAAACTCATTTGGCCAACAACTCCAGAAATTCTGGACACACATTTTTACCTTCATAAACCATTAAACTCCATTTGTACACCCCACTCTTCTGTCTTCCTTACAATAAACAAGAGACTAACCCAGTCCCCCATTCCTCACAATCAACAAGAGACTAACAAAGTCCCCCATTCCTCACAATCAACAAGAGACTAACAAAGTCCCCCATTCCTCACAATCAACAAGAGACTAACAGTCCCCCATTCCACACAATCAACAAGAGACTAACAGTCCCCCATTCCACACAATCAACAAGAGACTAACAGTCCCCCATTCCTCACAATCAACAAGGGACTAACAGTCCCCCATTCCTCACAATCAACAAGGGACTAACAGTCCCCCATTCCTCACAATCAACAAGGGACTAACAGTCCCCCATTCCACACAATCAACAAGAGACTAACCCAGTCCCCCATTCCTCACAATCAACAAGAGACTAACCCAGTCCCCCATTCCACACAATCAACAAGAGACTAACACAGTCCCCCTCACAAACTAAACATTGGAGTCTCGTCCCCCTCCTCCTGACTGTTGAGGTTGATGACAGACTGACAAAAATCATCCAGCTCTGGCATGTCCTCCTCAAGTCTAGAGACCAGCGCCTCCACGTCATTCAGATAATCCTCCACTGATATGTTGCAGTCTGCAGTCTCGTACAGGCTGGGTGCTCGGCAGATCACACCAAGGAATGCTTTCACGTCCCTGGGATCATCATCGGCAGCAAATGGGGGTTTCTACAGGACAGATTTGGAAAACACTTAATTAATTTTATGTTGATTAAAATAAAGTCAATTTATATGTGTTGAAAGCTAAAAAAAATGTTAAAATTTGTTATAAGTGATTGATCCTTCATAAACTACATCACACTGACTTTTGTCCCCACCCCCCCCCCCCCCCAATAATAACACCACATCACCTCCAAATAGTAATTTTGTTTTTTATTTAAACAAACTTTACTAAAATATAAACTGAGCTGGGTCAATATTAAATATATTGTTTTATTACAACATACAAAGAAGAGAAATGAAAGAGTAAAGTGTCTGAAATAATTCAGTGTAAAAAATAATTCCCAAAGTACGATTCCTCTCCCCATTGTTGAGAAGTAAGACATCATTTATGGATGACAAACACTAACACAGATATATACTTGAGCATCTATAGCTTACAGTGACATTATGGTTTTTGTGATATAAATCACTAGTACAAGTGTTACAAACTTACATCAACCATAACCAAACTTAAATCAACCACAACAAAACTTACATCAACCATAACAAACTCCTCCTCCACCGACATCTTCTGTTCCCTGGGTATATTTAAAGCCCCGGGCGTAACATTCTCTTTCTCCAGATCCTTTCTTCCTTTCTCCTCCGCCTTCCTCACCCCCCTATCAGCATCTGAGTCCCCGCCATCAGACGACGTCCTCACAGCACAATGTTTCTGATGTTCTTTCCTGGCTATCAAGCTCCTCTTCATCAGCCCTTCAAATGGCACTTTGTGGTCCAAGACTTTTCTGTGACTTGGTTTTTGAACAGAAAAGGCACCAATAACTGGATCTGGTAACTCATCCAAGTGAAAAATGCTGAAACAAAAAAGTTTATGATTTAAAAAATTTGCTACATTAAAATATCTAGTGTGGAGGCCACCAACCTAAGATCTTCTGAGACCTCTCTCCAGTGCAATTTTTCTCCCAAGACAGAATATTCTAATTGTGTTATTTTTTTAACTAGTTTTGTCTAACAGCTTGTTAGCCAAGAGCCCACCTATCTGAGGTTCCCTTTCAGCTCTTAGGTTAGCTGCTTTACTTTTCAGGTAAGGTTTCCTCACCTTTGTGGATACAAGGGAGATTGGCAGATCCACACAGGGACCCAGATTGTGAGACTACTGAATGTCTATACAGAAATGTAAACACACTGAGTGTCTAAACCTACCCTGAGTGTGAGACCCCAGAATGAAGTGTATGTCCACCTACCCTGAGTGTGCCCAGGTGTCTGATGCCAGCCTTGCCTTAAGTTCACTGTCCTCTTTCTCCAGAGACCCAGGGGAAACAGCAAAACAGTAAGGGCTTTCTGCTCTGGTCACTGGGCTACAGGAGAGATGAAAAACAAAACAGTTAGGGCTTTCTGCTCTGGTCACTGGGCTACATGAGAGATCAAAAACAAAACAGTAAGGGCTTTCTGCTCTGGTCACTGGGCTACATGAGAGATCATAGACATTGCTGCATTTTTTACCACAGAGATACATATATTATATTCAACAAGTACATCTTCTAGACTGCCTAAACTTAGCACAAGGTCCGATACTATCACCTAAACTTTAGTTTTACAGAACATTTGAAGTCATGTTTATATTTTTAATTGTCAATAATAACCAGAGTTTTACTGAAAATGTTTCATGTATTTTTTTTATTTTTTACAAATAGCTATTTTGAGTAAACATTATTCATATATTCAAAAATGTTACAACAAAATAAGAATCCAAGCTGCAAGAAAATATCACAGGACAGGGTTGAAAACAAACAACGTCCAGTTAGCAGCATAAGATAGTGAATAGATAAAGCACAGGTTGAAAACAAACAATGTCCAGTTGGCAGCATAAGAAAGTGAATAGATAAAGCACAGGTTGAAAACAAACAATGTCCAGTTGGCAGCATAAGATAGTGAATAGATAAAGTACATGGTTGAATATAAACAACATCCAGTTAGCAGCATAAGATAGTGGATAGATAAAGCACAGGATGAATATAAACAAAGTCCAGTTAGCAGCATAAGAAAGTGAATAGATGTAGACACAAACCTTCTCTGTGCTGGAGAGCATGGCTGAGGATCAGACAGTACTGGGGCGGCTGTTCTAAACTCCTTAACAAAGTAGTTGTCTGTCACCTCGATGGCGGCCATAGCAGAGGCGGACATCTCAGGGGAGAGCAGGAGCTTGGTGCGGAAGGATGCGTTGATTGATAGTAATCCTTGGGCTGTGGGTACAGACCCTGCTCGCACCGACCTGAAGCCTTCGCCCAGTGAATGAGTCTGTTTAAAATACAATTTCTGATTTTTAGGGATCATTACATTTTATTTAAACAAACTACTAACATTTTGTTCAATAATTAACACAAGCATATTTCTATTATTAAAAATAAAAAACCCAATAGTATTTATTGCAGCTATGTTGAATTCTACTGACAGGGCAAATAAAAATTACATTTCAAAACTAGCGTAACCATAAGAAGCTATTGATACAATTAAAGCTGTTTTATGAGAAAGAAAAGACAGACTTCCCATAGTAACATTAAAGAATGATATCGAGATTTAACATTGACATAAAGGAACAGTGGTTGAGGGTAGAGGGAAGTCTAATTGTTCGCACTTGAATGTCTGACCTAGCCTTGGAATGTGCAGGTTTTTCACTCATCATGGAGAGGTCCATGTATCACAGTGCCATTAAACAAGTAGGCAAACCACCAAACAGGCATGGAACAAAACCAATTAACCTATAGCAGGGGTTCCCAACTCCGTGCCCGCGGGCGATTCGTATGTGCCCGCCTCTCACTATTCGAAAGAGACTGAATTTTTTTCATAAACATTATTGAAAGGTTGAAGGGAATGGAAATCGAAAGTTTGAGGGGGAGAGGGTGGGGTGCAAATCGAAAATTTGAGGAGGGGGGGGGTGCAAATAGAAAGTTTGAGGGGGGTGGGTGGTGCAAATCAAAAGTTTTGTACCCGGGTGACGGGAAGGGTCGCTACGCCTCTGGAAGGAGTTTGTCGATTTAAAATAGGTGGTGCCCGCCACCCTACCAATATTTTAGAATGTGCTCTAGAATAATAAAAGGTTGGGAGCCCCTGACCTATAGTATCAGGAAGGCATGGAACAAATCCAGATGCCCTACAGCACCAGACAGACATGGAACAAATCCAAATAATCTACAGTATCAGTAAGACATGGAACAAATCCAAATAACCTACAGTATCAGGGAGGCATGGAACAAATCTAGATGCCCTACAGCTCCCATTGTTTCCCCATTGACTTACAAAGCTAAAAGAACTGACCTGAGGTTTCCCTAGATAAAACCTATAGTTGAGCTTGTAGCCTCCACCCTTTTCTCCCTGATTCCTTGCTAGTCTGAATGCTGGCATTGCCCGAGTGGCACAGAGTAGAGATTTTAGGGTCACACCTGAACAAACATGAACAGTTAAAATAGTTTACTTTCAACTACAGGTAGATTTTAGGGTCACACCTGAACAAACATGAACAGTTAAAATAGTTTACTTTCAACTACAGGTAGAATTAGTTAAAAAAAAGTTTTGTAGTTAAAACTATAAAATGCAAAAAGATAAGCAGTCTCTAGTGAACGATTTATATGAGTTTTGGGATAGCCTGGTCAAATGGTAGAGTTTATAACTGCTAATCCACAAGTCTTGAGTTCGAATTCTGGGCTCGAGCCTGCAGAACATCCCTGAGTACAGTCAGTACCTAATTTATGTTAAGGAAACTAAGGCGGCTGGGCATAGTGCTGCTGACACTTTCCCCTTGTATGCTGAGGTCATTGAAACAGATGAACTGTACTTTACCTCCCCATGTCTTGAATGTTTACAAATGATAAACATAAATCACACATTTTTAAAGATTAGCTTACACATTCTGGTGAAGACATGCTGTAGTTTATTGGCGGTCGTGTCTAAGCTGCTGAGGTTGAAGCTGATGTCCCAGGTCTCAAGAAACATGTGATCTCCATCATTGGTGACCAGGGGGATCTCAATACACACACTCTGGTCCTTGACTGGGAAAGATCTGACGCCATCCAGAACTTTCTTGATCTGCTCGTCTATTGATGGGTTGTCTGGGATTGTCACACAAAACTGAAAGTGAAAAGTAACACGAAAATATAATGTGCGCAGATTTAATACTTTTTAAAAAATAATTGCGTAGCTTACTAAATAACTTGGAACTTATAATGTACTTACTTTGCTGCCAACCAAAGATTTTATGTTAAAGTGTATTTAATATTTAGAATAAGATTAGGTTGCAGTATCAATTGCAGTATCAATAGGCCCTATATATTATTTTCATTATAATATTATATTGCAACATGAATATATGAATTTGGTCTACATGGGTTAATATATTTAAATAGTTGGTAATCTATTGTTTTAGATGCTTAAAATCGGCCGAGGCTAGTAATGTGAAAAAAGTTGCCTAATTGTTATTGCTTTAATACAAGTCTATTGCAATATATTTGAGTCAAAACTAATAGATAACTGAATAATAAACCAAATGCAATGGCTAAATATATCAATATTGGCCATAAATTAACATTAAACAGCAGTGTTTGCGAGAATGATTTGCTAACTATATAAACAGCTGCCATCTGTAAATTAGAGTGGTTTCCCCTGAATCTCTAACTATAATTTTACCAAAAAAACTTAAACAAGATGACTGCTAAAGTAAATGAGCTTGTTTGGATCTGATGAAATCATCACTAGTCTTTTTTTTTATTACTGAAAATTTTTAATACAATTGTTTAAAAAAAGGTACACGAATGAGACTTTGAAACATTTGTGTAACTTTCAAAACATAAATCCTCCTAAGAAATATGAAATAATTACTAAAATTTAATGAGTCACATTTTTCACATTGTCATTAGTAGCCTCGGCCAATTTTACGTACTCAAAACGATAGATTACCAAATAGTTGTAGGCTGCCTAGATCTAATAGTTAAAGTAGTAAAAGTAGTAAGTTACTGTTACTAACTAGAATCTAAACTAATTAAACTAAGTCAAGTCTAACTAAAAAACTAAGAACTAAAAAAAGGTAGTAGATTCTAGATCTAGTAGTAGTAGTAGTAGTAGTAGTAGTAAGACTTAGAGTACAAGAGTAGTTTAGAGTAGGCCTATGATTTAAAATTTAACTTACATAATCGGCAGTTAATGGTTCAGTGTTTAATCGTTTTGTCTTGTTCTCTATACGAGATTGTACTATAACTTGCATACATTTAAATGTAAATTTTTTAAATAGTCGCTCTACATTCTCATCTTTTCCTACGCTAGCTTCGAGGCTGAAACCACTAGCCGCCATCTTGTTTATTTTGGACTGCCAGCTGTTCGTCCCAACAAACGACAACTCCTATTAATTCATATTTTATGTTTAGAGTATTAAATCAACATATTGAATAATACGTAAGCGTTCTTGCATGCAATTTAATCAGCTTGTCCTGATAACGTATCATTACAAGTTCTGCAAAATACAAAATAAAAGTAGTTTGGTCTTCGCTGACTAGATCTACAACAGTGTCTTTTTCCGTATCCAATGTTTTTGTTATTGACCGGAAATAGAAAGCTATGCCTTTTGGGGTATATTTGACCGACTTAAAAATATAGTTTTTCCTTTATTTAATTTTTATTTATTTTTTATTCTCTTGAACTAGATCTAGATCTAGATGGTTTATAGATTCTAAAGATATATAAATTCAGACTATATTTCATGAAACAAGGAAAACGTGATCTAGTATTGCAAAATTATATGAAAAATACAACAAAATATGATTATATTATAATCTAATATATAAAGCTCAATTCTGTAACGCATATGTTTGTCGTTGGCATTTCTACGGATTTAAGTGTTAGATCAATTATCGTGCGCGTTTGTCTAAATTTATGAGTTAAAAAATTACTATTAAAAGTGTTGGGAAATAATTTTCATTTTTCAAATTATAGTAATAATTGTCGGCATGTTCATTAAACACAAGTTTTAAAAAAATATCATCTTTTACAAAAATTCTAATTATGTTTTTATTTAGTCCTATAGCGCTTACTTCCCTTTGATAAATTAGGCAAAACACAATTACTTCCCTTTATGAAACCATTGAATTAGTTGAAAAGCATTTACTTTTTAATTACTTTGTTTTGGTGTTGGGAAAAAAATAATTACATAATTAGCGGGGATTGATCAAGTGCAAATGTTTTAGGTATTTTACGGATAAGCTTGGAGTATTATAATTGTTCATTAAATTGAAACAGGCGCGTTCGTTTAAGTGAGTGCAAAAACTATGAATAAGTTGGGGTACTATAGTCGTTTATTAAGCTAAAACAGGCGATTCTGCCCCGGGCGTTTATGTTCGCGTTAGTGTTTTCTTTGTGTTTAGGTGGGTTTGCGTTAGTGGTTGCGTTTTGATTTGGTTCGTTTTTGTTCTTTCTTTTTTCGTTTTTGTTTGTGTTTTTTTTTTGTTTGGGTTTGTATTTGTGTTTTTGGTTGGTTTTGCGTTTGGATTTGGTTTGTTTTCGTTTGCTTTTTCGTTGTTTTTTTTTTGGTATTGGTGTTTGTGGTTGGGTTTGTTGTTAGGTTTTTGTTTTCGTTTGTTTTTTCTTTGTGTTTGTATTGGTGTTTGTGGTTGTGGTTGGGTTTGTTGTTAGGTTTTTGTTTTCGTTTGTATTTCTAATTGTGTTAGCGTTATGTTTGCGTTTTGTTGTTTTGGTTGGTTGTGGTTTGGGTGGGCAATGCCGGGTTTATGATGATTACTAAACACACAGGTAATGGTCTTTAACGGAAAGGTTTTTCACAGAAGCCAGAGCAGGGCCTGGCCGGGACGGCTAGTCTAATATATAAAGCTCAATTCTGTAACGCATATGTTTGTCGTTGGCATTTCTACGGATTTAAGTGTTAGATCAATTATCGTGCGCGTTTGTCTAAATTTATGAGTTAAAAAATTACTATTAAAAGTGTTGGGAAATCATTTTCATTTTTCAAATTATAGTAATAATTGTCGGCATGTTCATTAAACACAAGTTTTAAAAAAATATCATCTTTTACAAAAATTCTAATTATGTTTTTATTTAGTCCTATAGCTCTTACTTCCCTTTGATAAATTAGGCAAAACACAATTACTTCCCTTTATGAAAACATTGCATTAGTTGAAAAGCATTTACTTTTTAATTACTTTGTTTTGGTGTTGGGAAAAAAATAATTACATAATTAGCGGGGATTGATCAAGTGCAAATGTTTTAGGTATTTTACGGATAAGCTTGGAGTATTATAATTGTTCATTAAATTGAAACAGGCGCGTTCGTTTAAGTGAGTGCAAAAACTATGAATAAGTTGGGGTACTATAGTCGTTTATTAAGCTAAAACAGGCGATTCTGCCCCGGGCGTTTATGTTCGCGTTAGTGTTTTCTTTGTGTTTAGGTGGGTTTGCGTTAGTGGTTGCGTTTTGATTTGGTTCGTTTTTGTTCTTTCTTTTTTCGTTTTTGTTTGTGTTTTTTTTTTGTTTGGGTTTGTATTTGTGTTTTTGGTTGGTTTTGCGTTTGGATTTGGTTTGTTTTCGTTTGCTTTTTCGTTGTTTTTTTTTTGGTATTGGTGTTTGTGGTTGGGTTTGTTGTTAGGTTTTTGTTTTCGTTTGTTTTTTCTTTGTGTTTGTATTGGTGTTTGTGGTTGTGGTTGGGTTTGTTGTTAGGTTTTTGTTTTCGTTTGTATTTCTAATTGTGTTAGCGTTATGTTTGCGTTTTGTTGTTTTGGTTGGTTGTGGTTTGGGTGGGCAATGCCGGGTTTATGATGATTACTAAACACACAGGTAATGGTCTTTAACGGAAAGGTTTTTCACAGAAGCCAGAGCAGGGCCTGGCCGGGACGGCTAGTCTAATATATAAAGCTCAATTCTGTAACGCATATGTTTGTCGTTGGCATTTCTACGGATTTAAGTGTTAGATCAATTATCGTGCGCGTTTGTCTAAATTTATGAGTTAAAAAATTACTATTAAAAGTGTTGGGAAATCATTTTCATTTTTCAAATTATAGTAATAATTGTCGGCATGTTCATTAAACACAAGTTTTAAAAAAATATCATCTTTTACAAAAATTCTAATTATGTTTTTATTTAGTCCTATAGCTCTTACTTCCCTTTGATAAATTAGGCAAAACACAATTACTTCCCTTTATGAAAACATTGCATTAGTTGAAAAGCATTTACTTTTTAATTACTTTGTTTTGGTGTTGGGAAAAAAATAATTACATAATTAGCGGGGATTGATCAAGTGCAAATGTTTTAGGTATTTTACGGATAAGCTTGGAGTATTATAATTGTTCATTAAATTGAAACAGGCGCGTTCGTTTAAGTGAGTGCAAAAACTATGAATAAGTTGGGGTACTATAGTCGTTTATTAAGCTAAAACAGGCGATTCTGCCCCGGGCGTTTATGTTCGCGTTAGTGTTTTCTTTGTGTTTAGGTGGGTTTGCGTTAGTGGTTGCGTTTTGATTTGGTTCGTTTTTGTTCTTTCTTTTTTCGTTTTTGTTTGTGTTTTTGTTTGTTTGGGTTTGTATTTGTGTTTTTGGTTGGTTTTGCGTTTGGATTTGGTTTGTTTTCGTTTGCTTTTTCGTTGTTTTTTTTTTGGTATTGGTGTTTGTGGTTGGGTTTGTTGTTAGGTTTTTGTTTTCGTTTGTTTTTTCTTTGTGTTTGTATTGGTGTTTGTGGTTGTGGTTGGGTTTGTTGTTAGGTTTTTGTTTTCGTTTGTATTTCTAATTGTGTTAGCGTTATGTTTGCGTTTTGTTGTTTTGGTTGGTTGTGGTTTGGGTGGGCAATGCCGGGTTTATGATGATTACTAAACACACAGGTAATGGTCTTTAACGGAAAGGTTTTTCACAGAAGCCAGAGCAGGGCCTGGCCGGGACGGCTAGTCTAATATATAAAGCTCAATTCTGTAACGCATATGTTTGTCGTTGGCATTTCTACGGATTTAAGTGTTAGATCAATTATCGTGCGCGTTTGTCTAAATTTATGAGTTAAAAAATTACTATTAAAAGTGTTGGGAAATCATTTTCATTTTTCAAATTATAGTAATAATTGTCGGCATGTTCATTAAACACAAGTTTTAAAAAAATATCATCTTTTACAAAAATTCTAATTATGTTTTTATTTAGTCCTATAGCTCTTACTTCCCTTTGATAAATTAGGCAAAACACAATTACTTCCCTTTATGAAAACATTGCATTAGTTGAAAAGCATTTACTTTTTAATTACTTTGTTTTGGTGTTGGGAAAAAAATAATTACATAATTAGCGGGGATTGATCAAGTGCAAATGTTTTAGGTATTTTACGGATAAGCTTGGAGTATTATAATTGTTCATTAAATTGAAACAGGCGCGTTCGTTTAAGTGAGTGCAAAAACTATGAATAAGTTGGGGTACTATAGTCGTTTATTAAGCTAAAACAGGCGATTCTGCCCCGGGCGTTTATGTTCGCGTTAGTGTTTTCTTTGTGTTTAGGTGGGTTTGCGTTAGTGGTTGCGTTTTGATTTGGTTCGTTTTTGTTCTTTCTTTTTTCGTTTTTGTTTGTGTTTTTTTTTTGTTTGGGTTTGTATTTGTGTTTTTGGTTGGTTTTGCGTTTGGATTTGGTTTGTTTTCGTTTGCTTTTTCGTTGTTTTTTTTTTGGTATTGGTGTTTGTGGTTGGGTTTGTTGTTAGGTTTTTGTTTTCGTTTGTTTTTTCTTTGTGTTTGTATTGGTGTTTGTGGTTGTGGTTGGGTTTGTTGTTAGGTTTTTGTTTTCGTTTGTATTTCTAATTGTGTTAGCGTTATGTTTGCGTTTTGTTGTTTTGGTTGGTTGTGGTTTGGGTGGGCAATGCCGGGTTTATGATGATTACTAAACACACAGGTAATGGTCTTTAACGGAAAGGTTTTTCACAGAAGCCAGAGCAGGGCCTGGCCGGGACGGCTAGTCTAATATATAAAGCTCAATTCTGTAACGCATATGTTTGTCGTTGGCATTTCTACGGATTTAAGTGTTAGATCAATTATCGTGCGCGTTTGTCTAAATTTATGAGTTAAAAAATTACTATTAAAAGTGTTGGGAAATCATTTTCATTTTTCAAATTATAGTAATAATTGTCGGCATGTTCATTAAACACAAGTTTTAAAAAAATATCATCTTTTACAAAAATTCTAATTATGTTTTTATTTAGTCCTATAGCTCTTACTTCCCTTTGATAAATTAGGCAAAACACAATTACTTCCCTTTATGAAAACATTGCATTAGTTGAAAAGCATTTACTTTTTAATTACTTTGTTTTGGTGTTGGGAAAAAAATAATTACATAATTAGCGGGGATTGATCAAGTGCAAATGTTTTAGGTATTTTACGGATAAGCTTGGAGTATTATAATTGTTCATTAAATTGAAACAGGCGCGTTCGTTTAAGTGAGTGCAAAAACTATTAATAAGTTGGGGTACTATAGTCGTTTATTAAGCTAAAACAGGCGATTCTGCCCCGGGCGTTTATGTTCGCGTTAGTGTTTTCTTTGTGTTTAGGTGGGTTTGCGTTAGTGGTTGCGTTTTGATTTGGTTCGTTTTTGTTCTTTCTTTTTTCGTTTTTGTTTGTGTTTTTGTTTGTTTGGGTTTGTATTTGTGTTTTTGGTTGGTTTTGCGTTTGGATTTGGTTTGTTTTCGTTTGCTTTTTCGTTGTTTTTTTTTTGGTATTGGTGTTTGTGGTTGGGTTTGTTGTTAGGTTTTTGTTTTCGTTTGTTTTTTCTTTGTGTTTGTATTGGTGTTTGTGGTTGTGGTTGGGTTTGTTGTTAGGTTTTTGTTTTCGTTTGTATTTCTAATTGTGTTAGCGTTATGTTTGCGTTTTGTTGTTTTGGTTGGTTGTGGTTTGGGTGGGCAATGCCGGGTTTATGATGATTACTAAACACACAGGTAATGGTCTTTAACGGAAAGGTTTTTCACAGAAGCCAGAGCAGGGCCTGGCCGGGACGGCTAGTCTAATATATAAAGCTCAATTCTGTAACGCATATGTTTGTCGTTGGCATTTCTACGGATTTAAGTGTTAGATCAATTATCGTGCGCGTTTGTCTAAATTTATGAGTTAAAAAATTACTATTAAAAGTGTTGGGAAATCATTTTCATTTTTCAAATTATAGTAATAATTGTCGGCATGTTCATTAAACACAAGTTTTAAAAAAATATCATCTTTTACAAAAATTCTAATTATGTTTTTATTTAGTCCTATAGCTCTTACTTCCCTTTGATAAATTAGGCAAAACACAATTACTTCCCTTTATGAAAACATTGCATTAGTTGAAAAGCATTTACTTTTTAATTACTTTGTTTTGGTGTTGGGAAAAAAATAATTACATAATTAGCGGGGATTGATCAAGTGCAAATGTTTTAGGTATTTTACGGATAAGCTTGGAGTATTATAATTGTTCATTAAATTGAAACAGGCGCGTTCGTTTAAGTGAGTGCAAAAACTATTAATAAGTTGGGGTACTATAGTCGTTTATTAAGCTAAAACAGGCGATTCTGCCCCGGGCGTTTATGTTCGCGTTAGTGTTTTCTTTGTGTTTAGGTGGGTTTGCGTTAGTGGTTGCGTTTTGATTTGGTTCGTTTTTGTTCTTTCTTTTTTCGTTTTTGTTTGTGTTTTTGTTTGTTTGGGTTTGTATTTGTGTTTTTGGTTGGTTTTGCGTTTGGATTTGGTTTGTTTTCGTTTGCTTTTTCGTTGTTTTTTTTTTAGGTATTGGTGTTTGTGGTTGGGTTTGTTGTTAGGTTTTTGTTTTCGTTTGTTTTTTCTTTGTGTTTGTATTGGTGTTTGTGGTTGTGGTTGGGTTTGTTGTTAGGTTTTTGTTTTCGTTTGTATTTCTAATTGTGTTAGCGTTATGTTTGCGTTTTGTTGTTTTGGTTGGTTGTGGTTTGGGTGGGCAATGCCGGGTTTATGATGATTACTAAACACACAGGTAATGGTCTTTAACGGAAAGGTTTTTCACAGAAGCCAGAGCAGGGCCTGGCCGGGACGGCTAGTTTAATTATAATATTAATACATAGATCTATTCTATGTTATATCCACCTGCTATATAGATTCTATATTCTAAACCGCACTGAAGATTTAAATTTTAAAAACTTAGAATTTAATTTTAAAAAAAAATCTTTATAATAATTTTGTAAATGCACTATAACTAAAAATTAATTATTTTTTAAAATTAAAAGCAGATACATCTTTATGTTTTACTGGTGCATAAAACGAATTGTGCATCAACAACAATGTGTTTAAAGATCAAAACCATTAAAATATGATTTTGAAACAAAAACAAAATAAATGAATATTTTCTGCATATTTTCACAAGTCGACTACTGTGCTACGATAAAGAAATAAAAAGCGTGTTCTTCACAGTACGTATACACACGATCAATGAGCGCCTGTAGATGGCTTTGACGTCTAGGACTCCACGATATCGAAATATTACACTAGATACGTGTTATATCTTGCTCTAGCGCAGGGGTCTCCAAACTTTTCAGTCCGAGGGCCGCATTACCCATCAAATTTCAGTTCGGGGGCCAGTTTCTTCCAGGCAAGTCTTTGATTTTTCTGGGCAAAGTTCCGCAGCCATCTACAACAGACGATTTTTCCTTGGACAAAAAGATCTCCGCGGGCCGGATGAGAGGACTTCGCGGGCCGCATCCGGCCCGCGGGCCGTAGTTTGGAGACCCCTGCTCTAGCGCACTAAATGTTGTGCTGTCGTATTTGAACGGCCGCTAGTTCAGAGTTTCTTCCAGGCATTTTTTTCTCCGCACCCAACCCTCACCCGAAGAAAATCTAACCCCCCCCCCCCCCTTCCCGATCAAAATGAATGGAATTTATATATAGAATCATAAACTTACCGGTTTCCGCCCCCCCCCCCCCCCCGGAGAAAAAAGTTTAGAAGAAACACTGCGCTTGTTCTATCGTCCTCACTGACAAAATTCGATCGCAAATCATGAATCATGTGTGTGTTTTTACCTCCACCAAACCTATGCTGACTAACCGAACCCCTGGGGTTCGATTGAACCCAGGTCAAAAACCAATAGCCTAGAAAAGGGGCCGGCAACCTTTTGAGAAGGAAGAGCCAATAGTTACAATTTTCAAAATTTCTCAGTTTTTAAAGAGCCACTAACATTATTTTTTTCAAAATTTTATTATTTGATTAGGATTAGGTAATTAAATTTGATTTGTTATTTAATATAAATAGCTCTAAATATGTAAAAATATTTATTCATATAAAAAAATTCACTTGTTTCGCCAGAATAATGAAATTAGTAATCAAAAAAATAAAACTATAGGACTATCCCAATCCACTTTAGAAGCTGTTAACTATTTTTTTTCTTTACTGACATCACTCACCGGCTCAGGAGGTGTCTCCCATTAGCCAGTCAGGCCTCAACACGGCAAACCCCGACTAACTGGCTTGGATATCGGTTTGATAACAGTGTATCGGTCGCTTCTGTCCTTTGGTTCTCACCAGGCTTATCTTCCACCCCACTGAACACAGGGTAAACTCGTACCCCATAGTCCAGTACTCGGTTCAACGGTAGGAAGCAAATAACTAAAAAAAACTACGTCACTCGGGTCAAATTAATGATTACTGACAGATAGAGAAATGCATTCTAAATAAAATAACATTCCCCATTTAATGATATTCGAAAAAAGTGAAATTGTTGCCCCTGGGCTGGCTACAGCACGGCTGTTGGGCTGGGCCTGGCGCCCAAGCGGCTGTTAGATGTCCGTATACTTTCTACCTCACCTACTCCCATTGTTCTCTGATGAGTGTTTTTATCGTGTTTAGGTGTTTTTTTTTAAAGATGTAATCATCGATGTTGGTTGGACTCACGGTCGTTCTGTATATTTAATTTAAGTGATTTGAAAACATGAAAAGTCTGGGATGATTCTAGTCAGTGGCGTAGCGAGGTCGGGTGTCACCCGGTGCGGCACTTAATGGTGTCACCCCCCCAGAGGCATAGAGACCCTTCCCAGGGACAAACTTTCAAATTTTCGATTTGCACCCCCCCCTCAAACTTTCGATTTGCACCCCCCCCCTCGAGTTTTTCTCTATATATTTTGCTATTTTTTGCCTTGGTGTCACCCCCCTAAATGGTGTCACCCGGTGCGGTCCGCACCCCCGCCCCCCCCCCTCGCTACGCCCCTGATTCTAGTGTTTTCAAATCACTTAAATTAAATATACAGAACGTCCGTGAGTCCAACCAACATCGATGATTACATCTTTTTTTTTGGGTGGGGGGGGGGGAATAGTAAAGGCGGATTTGCATATTGCTGACCACATCATTCCTTTATATGCCGAGGTAAAGAAAAGTGAACTTTACTTCTTCTGCCCTATTTATCGTTAGATCTAAAAGGGTCACTTCTGTTTTTATAGGCCTAATGCCAAATCATTGTTGTCGTATTCCTTCGCCTTGATGAAAATAAAAATGTGAAAATAAAAATGTGAATTTTTCGAAACAATACAGATGTGTTGTTCGCGCTTAGTGAATACCCTGTGTAGTACAACGTGTCAAAATTTTCATTTTGGGTGTTGAATAGAGGGGGAGGGGGATATTTTATTAGACCCATATAACCCATTTCTACAACAAATTAGAACTTAAAACTTATGCACTGATCAACAGCTTGAAAGAAGCGAACAACAACCCAGACAGAAGATGTAATTTGATGTAATGACTCTTGATGTAACATCCACTTGATTAAGATAATGTAATGAAAGTTTATCAATGCATAACACTGTGTAAACATAACCTAACATTTCAGTTCAAAAAAATAAAATTGATCTAGCTTTCGAGTACACATATGTAAATTAATAAGTAAGTTTATAGATAAAACAAATGAATAGATAAACAATAAGCGTGCCAGGGTATAGAGAATAAAATGTTTAAAATGCTAAATAATTTTAAATAAGTAAATATATATATATATATATATATATATATATATATATATATATATATATATATATATATATATAGAGAGAGAGAGAGAGAGAGAGAGAGAGACACACCACCCCATGCGAATGGCTGTCTCTGTTCCTGTCAATGATCAGATCACTGAGTAACTAATAGATATACCCGCACTTCCTGTGTGGATCAGCCGACTAACTCAATGATAATTGCTCCGTCTCTAAGCAGTTTGAATCTATAAATAGAATAACAAAAGGAAGGAAACGAAATTTTAAACTGATTTCCGCCATTAAAAAAATAACATGAAACCTACAGTTCGCGACACATCGCATAGGAATTTAAAATAAATATTAGGCCTATAGGTTTAATACATATTGCATAGAATATAGAAATTTAGATCTAGTGTTCTGGTTAGTAGTTATTTCATGTTTATTAGAATATAGTCTAGAATCTAATCATACGGCTGCATAAAAAGAAAGTTTGAAGGAAATAGAATAGGAATATAGAGAAGCGGAGGTAAGAAGGTTAAATTAGTAATTTACATGATTTTTATTGTAGTTTCACTGTTTGTTAGGCCCAATTATTAAATCTTTAGATCAGAGGTCCAGCTTGATCATGTGTGGTATCTATTGTGGTGCATTGGAATGAAAAGCCCACATACTTAAATATAGAATCTAGTAGGCCTATACATACTATAACTGTACTGCCGGCCCTATATTTTAAATTTGTTGCCACAAGAAAAAAGCCTATTTACTATTAGGCCTATTAGTTATAATTTAATTAAATTGAAATATTTGATTATCTTTATAGTTTATAGTGAATGCATGCTAATGAGCATTATTCAAGCTGCTGTTATATTTAGGCTCATAGGCCTATATACTCTATAGCTTAGGCTATATACTATAGACTATATATTATATACCAATATTGTGCATAAAACTTAAAGCATGTAAGCATACACAATAATAATTATCATTAGACCTATAGTAACTAAGACTCGTACTATTTAGTACTACTTTAATAGTACCTTTAAACTATTAGGCATAATGAAATAATGATTAATAATTTCAGTGTTTTCCGCACTCGAGAGGAAAGAGGTTGCAGGGAACTTAGAGACTAATCTTTGCCAACATACTGGATTTCTGGTGATGACAATAGCAGCAGATAGTATGCGGCTCAGTTAATACTAAAAACAATTAATATTACTAATTAGTGGTATGCTCTTTTTTAAAATAATATATTATAACATGGTATCGCAAAGGTTCAGGTTGTCCAATAAATGGTAATTAGAGTCAGGTTTAGGACTATAGTTTAATGCTTGGTTAGTAATATGCATCAAGTTGGGAAAGACATAGAAATGGAAATACAATGTGTTCATTCGCAAACGTTACTATTTAAATTTTTTTAGGCCTGCTATTTATTGCTGAATAATAAAATCACTATACTTATCCACTATATTATGTTTAAATAAAGTGAGTTTAGATCAGTCGAGTAAATAAATTTAACAGCAAGACATAGCTAAAATTTACAATGAATATATATATATATATATATATATATTTATATATATATATATATATATATATATATATATATATATATATATATATATATATATATATATATATATATATATATATATATATATATATAATTTGATTGCTATTTTATAAAAGTATGTAAATCACAGATCAAACATTACTTTGTATTGTGTCTACAACTTAACAAAAATGCTACTACTTTGATGGATTGCACTAAATAGGGGTTAGCTTTAATTTAATAATTTGTGAGATATTCTTGCTAATCTATGTGTAAATTGCTTTTCAGGACTATGAGTGTGTGTTTGGCCATCCAGATTTCATAACTACAACTGATGTTCAATTACAAGGGATATTAATCAGTCTCCGTGGACTATACACTGTGCCTAGTTTCATCCTCAGATAACTGTACTATAGGCATAACCCATTTTTTAAAGTAATTATTATAGCAAGAGATAGCATTGTATGTTATAATAAATATAATGGATTTTAATCCAAAATATTTTATTAATTATTGTCTTTTTTTAAATTCTAATAAATCAGTGAGTTGTACAACATAGAGGGTATTATATTTGAATGATAATTGAAACACATATTGTTATAGAGCTCAAAACTATGTACTTATCTAATATAATTAATATACTGAAACAGTTTTATTGAAGCATATTATTTCATATTTTACCACACAGAGACTGATGTGTACGCTTAAAGTAAAGACATCAAATCAAAGTATCAGCCATCAAGAGGGTAAATATTGATAGTCTACTTCATTAATCTTCAATATGAATGAACACAATTTTAAATCTATAATCTTTGCTGATAATGTTTGTTTCTTGTTATTCATCATGTTCAGTGATTTATCTTTTCAAAGTAATTAGTTATAGTAAAGAAATATTAGAGATAGTAATATAAATTTGTAATTTATTTTTCTTGCAAGTTCCACAAAAGAAAGTATCAAAATATTTTGCCTTTATTTCATTTACAGAAAAACATTCAAAATCATATTGTGATACACAAGTCAAGCAAGTCTGACCAGCATTTTGATACAGGCCAAGAAAAAGCTGGATACTTGATTGGAAGGGTCGCACAAAAAACATGGGTTATCACTAGGGAAACAAGCTCGCAATACAGTTCACTGTTAGGACAGCAAGCCAAATACTTCTAAACTTATTTGAATCATTTTTGCTGTTTATTATAATTCATCCAATTGTCTTATTAAATATATAAATTTATATATATACACAATTCCTAATATAGAATTTCTAAAAATGTTTTATTATAATATTTAAAAATGAAACAAACATGTTCCCAGAACACAGCCACATAATGTCAACATGTTCCCAGAACACAGCCACATAATGTCAACATGTTCCCAGAACACAGCCACATAATGTCAACATGTTCCCAGAACACACAAAATGGCAACATGTTCCCAGAACACAGCCAAATAATGTCAACATGTTCCATGAACTCACAAAATGGCAACATGTTCCCAGAACACACAAAATGGCAACATGTTCCCAGAACACAGCCAAATAATGTCAACATGTTCCATGAACTCACAAAATGGCAACATGTTCCCAGAACACACAAAATGTCATTATGTGCCCAGAACACACAAAATGGCAACATGTTCCCAGAACACACAAAATGGCAACATGTGCAGAGAACACAAAAAATGACAACATGTGCCGAGAACAATGCCCCTTACAGATGACATGTTCCCAGAACACAGCCTGTAGTTGGTCTGCCATAAAAAGTTAACAATACTTTACTTTTTCCTTAACAATTTTACAAGCAGGTAATAAAGCCATAAATCTTTACTGTGGATATAGCCAATAAATAGGGTAACCTTCACTATATGCAATTTGTAGTTTTCAATGCCTGTCCCATGCATATTATTTAGCCTATTGTTTTGGGCCTTGCTTCATTTACTCAATAAATTATATAGGCATGAGAATTTTCATTTTAATCTGCAAAAGCTACTTTCTGTACATTATTATTTTCAAACTACATCATATATTTTTCACTTCTCTGATAAAAAATATTCCTCATATTGTTTGTGTCAAGTATTTTATTTTTATCTATGCAATGCTATATTCTTATTTTATAATAATTACTTTTATACAAATTCCTTTGAAAACTGTTCTTTATTGATTTGTATCATTTTCTTTATTTCTGAAAAATAAAACTTTGTTTGGGAATCCTTTTTTTTGTTTCTGTACAAATTAATAAACATAAATACCTACCAGGCTTAATATCCAGCAACATTAAACAATTAAGTAGGGCCTATTGTTAGTAATGGTAAATTATATACTAATTAATGTGATTTCTCCTGGCCACCTTGTTCTGAATACCTTCAACTGTGTCAATGTTGGTACCAACTCCAATAATTAAAACTGAAGCCATTTACTATGAAGTAAAACTTGGGTGTAATCCAAATTCACCCAGTTGCCGGGGGCAAGGTACCAAACATGATGTCCAGTAGAGGGTTAAGAAAGTATCATTATTAAATCACTATTAAACCCCTCCTCGCCTACGCCATTGCTTGTATGCATATGGACGTTATCGGAATTTACTGTATTGCTTACAAGTCGAAAATGCGAAAAAGACACGTTTAACATTACTAGTTTGAAGAATAACATTCATGTTAGCCGAAACAGGTGTATTCTAAAGGTGTTTAAATTCATTTTATTGTTCATTACGATTATGATGTCGTAAAATATAGGCCTATTTTAAAAAAAAGCATAACTAAAAAGTGTTTAAACGCATTTTCTTCTTAGAAAAGCCGCACATGCATGATATCATTAACATTACGGCAAATCAAACCCTTGAAGAAGCCCCATCAACCATTCAATTATTACGATGGGCAACAAATAAAACGCCCGCATCAAGGTACAGTCCTTATGCTATCGACATTAGCTCAACCCCGGCAACTAACGTGTCCCAAAACCAAGAATTGAAATCTTGACCCATTATTCTGATTAATTAGTGGTTAAACATCTTTAGGCATCTGAAAACGTTAGTTTTTAATCTAGTGTACTCAAAAAGGAACAACATAAAGCTTTATGCCGCCTTAAAAACCCAATCCCATGTTACGCAAGGCGTCGATAGAGAAAGAATAAGGCTTTGAGTCAGAACAGGCAAGGGCTTAGATAACTGCCAAAATACCTAATCTGTAGACCTCACAAGTCTAGACGATATATTTGTGCCTCTGTTTTTAGACTTTCAGAACAAATGCATGTGATGTGGTCAGTAGGCACATAAAAGAGAAAAGTAGTTTTAATCTAGAGACTTCAAACATTTCTGAAGGACCGAATTTGAACTTGTCGGCCGTGGTGTCGATGCCAAAGTTTAGCGTCGTCCGCAAAGATAAGCTATCGTTATATCATCTCTATGCCCATATTGTGACAGATATTTACAAATGTGTCTAATACAGGACAGAATACATAGCTACTCAACAGAGATAAGCGCAATCACTTGTCCACGACTTAAGAAACCACTGTACTGCAAAACCCACCTAAATGGAAAATGTCTTAGATGTGTGTTTTAATACAAATGTGTACCTCGTCGCGAGTTAGGACCTGAAGGTAGTCTGTTACTACTGAATATATAAAAACAATAAAAAGATAACGTGAATTTTATTTGTTCAATTTCTTGGCTAACTGTATTTGTTGCATCTTGTTCAATTTTGTTAATATTGATTAACCTAAAGGGTTCAAATGTAACAAAGAAAATTGTGACTAAGTTTCCGGGTGCGGGTATGCGGACACTAGTTAAAGTAGGCCCTATATATCTATTTATATTAATAGAAATGAAAGTATGTTTATCTGTTTGTCCTATATGAATTACTACATCTTTTTCATCGGATCGCCATAAAACTTTGTGAACAGAGTTTTTTCCAGGAATCTATTCGGAGGGGGGGGAGGGGAGAAAGCAGAGCCCCCCCACCCCCCGAAGAAAGTCTATCGACCCCCCCACCCCCGAACGAAACGGAATATTTATATAGAAAAAAAAATACTTTTAACAGTGTCCGCACGCCCCCCCCCCCCCCCCCCCCCCCGGAAAGATTTCGCCAGGGCGGCACCCTAGCAGGAAGCAGAAGCGTAGCAACCTATTCCGGCGCCCGGGGCGAACTATCAATTATGTGCCAACCCTATTCAAACGCTGGCAAAAAGGCGCCCATCCCTACATACACTCCCCTATATAAAATAATTGAGGATATCAGCCATGTATAAATCTGTTTCCTTAAATTTTAATGAAGAATGAGGATTTTTTTAAAAATTGTCTATCCCTTTTGGCGCCCCATTCGATCTGGGGTCTCTGACAGGAAGCAATGCAATTTTTCTCCATAAAAATAAAAGCCAGATGCAATTTGACACTGTTCGTACGAGAGTCATAAAATTTTGGGTAGTTGGTGAAAAGGGTTTCTAGAAAGAAAAAAATTCTTAAGTGTGGCACCCTGGGAGGGTTCGATTTTTCTAATTATACGATTATGAGCTCAGAATCCAGAGGGGAATCCAGAGGGGCTATCTCATCAATTGCGGTCATAGGTAATACTAGATTCAGCAGAGGCGCAGCGAGGGGGCGGGGGGTACATATGTCACCGGGAGCCAACCCTAGGGGCGCCAAAATGGTTGGAAAAATTTAAAAGCTCATTTTAGCTATAGTTTTGCATTATAAATATTTAAAAAATACGGGGGGGGGGGCGCCAAATTGAAAGTTTGTCTCCGGCGGGAGGGGGGGGGGCGCCAAATTGAAAATTTGTCCCCAGGCGCCAGGAATGGTGCTACGCCTCTGAGATTCAGTGATAAAACTACACCAGGTTCATCCGCCAGCTCCCCGGCGGTTGAGTGGCCCAGAGCGGCCAAGACCCATCTCGGGCGACCCTACGGTTTAGATGGGCTACTATAAATGTTCACTAAGTAGAATAATGAGCGCCCGCCGGCGCCCTGGCAGTTGGCGACAGCGAGCGCCCCGGCAGCTGGCGACAGCGAGCGCCCCGGGCTCTACAGAGAGTGCCTCCTTAAAGAGCATCCTACAATAGGGACACGGTGGCACACGACATTTTATAATTAAACCGAATTAGGGGCGCCCCTGCGGAAATATAACCAGTGGCTCCCTGGAGCGCCAAGGGACGCGTCTCTAACACATGGGCGGTCGCCAATGTGTGTTCTACCTCACTATTACAGAGGTTGATTAACGTACACTCAAGGCTTTCATACAGTGAGCCTTGGTGCGTCTAGGCGGCAGTGGAGACAAACCCGCGCCCCAAAAACGAATATGTGGGTTTGTTTGTTTAAGCATTATCAAAGATTTCATTCGTTTGTCATTCAAATTTGAGAAGTTAATGCTAATACCCCTGTGGTGGTTTCTACGAAAAAAATTCGATTTGGTGGCGCCCTGGCAGGGTTCCATTTAGCTCCCCGGGTTTTCCCGTGAGTACTATGGTACCTTTGTTCGTTTTAATAATTGCGAAACGCTATGAATATGATGGGCTACTATAATCGCTCACTATACCGAGTGAGGCGCCTTCCTACCTACGCCCACCTACCTACATACCTAACTCCCTGCCTACGTACCTACCTATCTACTAACCTGCCTGCGCTGCTGTCTGCCTACCTACTTTCCTACCTACCGTTATTCCTGCCAAACTGCTTTCCTTCCACCCCGCCTGTCTACACACCTCACATCCTACTTACACACACACATATCTTCGTATGTATATATGTATGTGTTAGTGTGCTCTAGGACTATGTATTTTTACATTTTTGTTGTTACGTAGAACTATTCAGTATAAAGGAGTTTCCTTTTTTTTTTGACGTTGTAACTGCCGCTAAAATATTCTTTTTTTGTATGTGTGCATAAAATAGTGTAGGTTTATTAACAAAAGTAAATTTTAGTATGTATTTAAGTGTATATAATCATTTTCGTCAAGCCAATGTGTTCATAATCTTAAATTTAAAAACCCATGAAACTCGATAGCTAAAGATTTAGAATGAGAATAATTGCTATTTAACCAGTAACACCTATTCTAATTATTGTAATAATATTTTTTTTAAATAAATATACACAGAGATAGATTGTTTTCTTATATAATTTATTTAAAAAGTCAACTGTATTTCATAACGAAAATTAACACAAAATACATTCGAATAGAAACTGTCAAGGGAGACTACTCTAATATTTGTAGGAATAATAGTTTTTATTTAGAGTTTTTTTTTTTTATTATTAGAAGAAAAGTTAATCATGTAGGTTCTATAAAAGATTACCTTGCATTTAAAAAAAAAGATATTCGGCAGGTTTAGAATGAGAAATAGTCAAAATTATTTATTATATTCATTAGTTGTTTTTTTTTAATAATATAGTACAAAGACCTGTTTTAATTATTTTTAAAAAATCTTATTTTAATTAATAAATTATAAATGAAGATCGAGGATCTATATTTAAAAAAAAATAGTTTAACTGTCCCTAAACAATTGTATCAATCGCTGAGAAATTAAGAATTAATAATTACGTTTAACGCTTTATTAATTAAACGAGTTGAATTATTTCCGTTTTGATAAACTCTCTCTCTCTTTATAACTACTAACGCTTTATCATTGAGTTTCTTAAGAGAAAAATACAGGAGAGCGGTAGTTATCATTGACTCTGTCATTGATAATTTCATTGAGTCTTTCATAGAAAATAGTGTTTGATCGGCTGGACACACACATATTCACACACACTATAAGCCTAACTCTTCTCGCGTGGATGTTTGGTTCAGGGACCGAGTACGTCTATGAGAGCTACTCCTCATATTCATGTTTGCTGGATCTTCAAAGTACATAAAATCCTGTAGGAAGAGAGACGCAAAACTGATACACTAGAAGGACCTAACTCCAAATAAAACGGTTGCTAAAGTGGGATTCTTTGTATAGGGGAGATACAGAGAAATATATCCTGGGGAGATCATGTCATGTGTTTTATACATGTAGCACTGTAGTAGATCTCTCGATTGCTAGCCAGCATACACAGAACAGAAACCAGGGGCGTAGTTCTAGGTGGTAGGGTGGGGGGGGGGGGTCCTACAGTGACGTCATGTAACGCCTGCGATGTCTTCTTTGACCGGACGGGCGTTACGTGTGTTCGGTGTTTCGAAATATTTTCACAAGACTAGCCTAGTGCTAATAATACTTGGGTCACATTTTTGGGGGAAATTGAACCGATTAATAGTTGTTAATCCGTTAATCTTCCGTTAATCCTCCAGTATGACTTTGATCTTATGTACAAATATTAATAGTGAAGTATTTATTTAAGCGCATCTGTCAAACAAACAAAAATTAAAGCATAGTTTTATATCCAATTTCAATGTTTACACTAATTTATCTCAAAATGTTGCCTTGTGACTATTCTAGGTACTTTTAGCTCTAAGGTCTTCAAATGCCGTGCGCTTTTTTCTGGCTACTTTTTTTTCCCATTTTGTTTTTCCCCAGGTAATTCCACAGCCAACAACTTACAATGAGAAATACGCATCCAATCAAAGTCGCCTTTAACCTGACATCCAAATCAATTGGAACTGTGGGATAGAAAGAGAGATAGGAATTTCCGTTACAAGAATATACATGAGCTATGGAGTGGGTAAGGTAGGAAATAACCTTGAAAACCCACTGATTTAGGCAGTAAGGAAACAAGTTTATTGTTTGGTTTCAATTTTATTTTGGCTAAAATAAAAGTTCATATTGTCACGGTGCGACAACATGTCACTTATGGTTACGCAGTAATGTCACATGTCACGAAGTACGAGACATATACTCAAATGTCACGCCGTGAGATACACATATTCCCATGTCACGCCACGTGACACACATACACCCGAGTTACGCTCAGTTACACAAAAACTCACGCCACATGACATATACTTACACGTCACGCCACGTGACACACGTACTCCCAAGTCACGCCCCGTGAAATACAAACTCACATGTTACGACATGTGACACACACATATACACAAGTCACGCCACGTGACACACATACTTACATGTCACGCCGAACGTGTCAGCATCGGTGAAAAACTCCTTGACGAAATCCCCACGATACTTCGAGATGACCCCTATAGGTTTCCGGTCCCCTATCCTGCTCACCTAAGTGAGAGAGACATCAGAATGAAGTGCGAATATTCCAGAAGAAAATATAAATAGCTTTTTAATTATTTTTTTTCGCATAGCTGTTATCATTTTTACTTTCTCGTATATACGAAGTATAGAGAAAGTCTTGTAATCGTGCAAAAAAAAATCGAGATTTTTACAAATCTCGACGTTTTAGACCTCACTGATACGGAAAAACAATATTTGCAATCTTGTCCGTATGTCTGTGTGTGTGTCTGTCTGTCTGTCTGTCTGTCTGTCCGTGTGTAAACACGATAACTTGAATACCGTTACAGCTAGGTTGATGAAATTTCATATATAAGTATTTTATCAAAATCGTAGATCCGTATCAACTTTTGAGCGATTTCCGATAACCGGAAGTGGTACTTTTCCTACTTTGAACTTTTCAAAAGCCTATAACTTGAGTACTATTTCAGATAGATAAATGAAATTTCACATGTAAGTAAAAGATCTAATTCTCTACCTTCTGTTAAATTTTGAGTAATTTCCGTTGACTGGAAGTAGTAATTTACGCTACTTCCGATTTCTCAAAAAACTAATGTAAATTTTAAAAGTACTAATAATATTGCGCACTATTATGTGCTTTTTTATTTGGCGTTCACTTGGTGTGCAATTAATTTGTCTACGAGATTTTATTCTATTTTTAAAACTTTAAGTATTTAAAATGGATTAAAACTCATGTCTATAGCCCGAGTTCCCATCCACTGTTATTTTATATAAGAATATTCGAGAAAGTTTAGGAGAGATCACTCCCGGTTTATTTTCACCAAATAACAGAAAAACACAAAAACTAAGATGAGAACATCACAATATAAAATATCAGAAACTATATGTAGGCATGTATGAACTTGTTTGACACGAATTATTGGCTTAATTCAAGGATTATACTGCTTTATATTTTACTAAGCTTAATGTGTTTACATTCAGTGCCAAAAAGAACAACAATATATAAAAGTACATATTATTAATTTCTATATAAATTATATTTCGTTCAGACGATTTTTAGGGGGGGGGGGGGGGAGAGGAGATGCCTAAAAAAAACTCTGACCACAACTGACCTCGAACTGGATCGATGGACAGCACACAGTGCACTCGCAGGTGGGTCCAACAATCTCCAGAAGGGGCGTCAGGTCGTGGTCCATGACGCGGAATTGTGGGAAACAACATGCCCGCCTGAACATCACAAGTGGAGATTTTTTACTGCAGGCTTATACAGGCAGCTACATGTTCTTGACATGTGCCAGTTACATAGGTACACACACATTTAAGTGTCTTGTCACACAGCTATACACACATGTACGTGTCTTGTTACATAAGTACATGAAATTTATGTGTCTTTTCACACAGCTACACACACACATGTACGTGTCTTTTCACACAGCTACACACACATGTACGTGTCTTTTCATATAACCCCATATGAAGACAACAGGGGATAAACCACAGTTGTGACAGGACAATTTTCTCCTTTCGAGAAATTTGCATTTGAGATCCTTAGCTGTTCTCTTGTGTCATGATTTTAAAATCCTTAATATTGAGGGGAATGACGTGGTTTTACGTTTTCATGTTGTTATACGTGATAGATGTAAGCTAGTACTACATCAATTTGGCAAAAAAAAAAATGGATATGTGTGGTTTATCCCTGTGGTTTTCATACGTTGAAATTATTTTTCTAAAACTTCAGTTTAAATTTCATTACTACGAAACTTCACGTCATGAGTAAAACTAGCAAAACATTTGACGAAATTAAACTAATCTTAACAGATCTAAACTTTACATTGATGGACCAGAGGTCACAGTCAATCGACCACACGTTACAGTGGACAGACTAGAGGTCACCATAGACCTACCTGAGGTCACCATAGACCTACCTGAGGTCACCATAGATCTACCAGAGGTCACCATAGACCTACCAGACGTCACCATAGACCTACCAGAGGTCACAATAGACCTACCAGAGGTCACCATAGATCTACCAGAGGTCACCATAGACCTACCAGACGTCACCATAGACCTACCAGAGGTCACAATAGACCTACCAGAGGTCACCATAGACCTACCAGAGGTCACCATAGACCTACCAGAGGTCACCATAGACCTACCAGAGGTCACAATAGACCTACCAGAGGTCACCATAGACCTACCAGACGTCACCATAGACCTACCTGAGGTCACCATAGACCTACCAGAGGTCACCATAGACCTACCTGAGGTCACCATAGACCTGCCAGAGGTTACAGTGGACAGACTTAAGGTCAACGTGGACTGACCAGAACTTACCTTTGATGAGCCTCTCCTAGCCGAGATCCATCTTGTGTTGTGACCTGCACCTCGTCTTGACATATGTCACAACAGGCAACACATGAGCCACATGTACATTTATAGGGCCGGTATATCTTGAAAACAGTCTAGGACAAACAACATATAACATTTGTAGGGCCGGTATATCGTGAAGACACTCTAAGACAAACAACATACAACATTTGTAGGGCCGGTATATCGTGAAGACAGTTTATGACATACAACATTTATAGGGCCGGTATATCGTGAAGACAGTTTATGACATACAACATTTGTAGGGCCGGTATATCGTGAAGACAGTCTAGGACATACAACATTTGTAGGGCCGGTATATCGTGAAGACAGTCTAGGACATACAACATACAACATTTGTAGGGCCGGTATATCGTGAAGACAGTTTATGACATACAACATTTGTAGGGCCGGTATATCGTGAAGACAGTTTATGACATACAACATTTGTAGGGCCGGTATATCGTGAGACAGTCAAGGACATACAACATTTGTACCTTTTGAAAATTATCCTGCACAATAATTTCAAATTCACGGCTTGGCCCGCATAGATGTCGACAGCAACACTCGGATTCTGATAGAGAATGTTTTAAAACCTTGTATAACATCTTCTCCGAACTTATACCGAGGTATTCAGTTGACATCCCCCCCCCCTTGTTTGACTATACTCAGACGTTACCCCCCCTAGACATATTCACCATATCAACATCACATAGACATATATACACCACAACACCATCACATTGACATATTCACCACACA